CGGCCTCGCAGCCTCGCCTTTCCAGCGCTTGGCACACCTCGAGCACCGCCACGTGCTCTGAGGCCTCAAACGCATGGCGTGGATCCAGGGGCTTGCAGGGGGTAAGTGCCAGGGGGGTGGGTTGAGAGCCCTTTTCGGGTTCCTTAGCCTCCATTTGCTTGCTTTAAGTCTCCTGGTTAAAAAGACAAACATATTTCCAGTAGTGATGGATTCACTTTCAAACCAACAGGGGAAAATAATAGAATGCCTTAAGCAAATGGAAATTGTGGTTGGACCACCCCTCCTTAGGGACTCCAACATGAACAAGGGGCTATGCAAACTTCACTTCCAGAGAGGGTTGGCCAAAGCAACCAAACTTTTGATCACTCCGATTGTCCAAACCCAAATGGCTCAAGTCCAAAACGGGGTTTCCCATCCAAACGTTCTAAGGACACTTTGGTGGGTAACCAATGTTTCACTGTGGACACATAACTTACCCCTTAAAACTCCAAGCCCTGGGGAAGTTAACCTTTTACAGACATATAGCCCATGTTTCGCAAAAAGTTGAAAAGTTGTGTTTTTAAGAGGTATAAGCATAATGTGTGCAACTAGCTGCCGACACCCACCAAATTCGCCAGCTTGTGGGTTCACAAGCCTGCGACTCCCTCAGAATAAACCTCCTGTGTGCCATGCTGTCACAAATTGCAAGAACAAAGCCGTACCCTCCAAAAGCCGCGCACGCAAACACACACACACCCATATGAGTCAGCGTCCAAATTACTTGTCTGTGGTGTATTCATTCTGACCTTGGGACGTCCCGTGTCGTTTTTTTCATGTGTTTTCTGTCAAATGTTAAGGTATCGGTTTCTTTGGACGTCCCGCGTCGTTTTTCGAGCAAAAAACAACAACACAACATCTGCATGACACGCCCCTACATCAAGTGAATGACGGCAATTTTAAGAAGCCAAATCTCATATCTCATATGTCCGCGACTCCACGTCCTTCTCTTAGCCCTCTGGGGGCTCCCGCTTGTGTGATAAAGTGCCGCCGACCTCGAAGCGGCGACCACTTAGAGGCGCCGCCTTTCATTTCGCAGGGCTTGGATTGCAACCTTCATCGGGCTACTCTTGGCATGGGCTGGCAAACAAAGACTGAAACTGTTTTTTTTGGCAGACCCGTAAAAATGAACAGAACCGAAAAACTAAAAAAACAGAAAGACATGATCCAAGAACAGCGAAGTAAACTTTGTCTTTACTGAAAGTGGGCGGGTTTGCCTGCTAGAACTTAGGAAAGCGCGGGTTGCATGGTTGGAAGGGGGCGGCATAACCCCAATAAATCACAGATGCATGTTCCCAAGTATCGATGTGACGAACGCTGGCTTCCGCCGCCGCGCCGAGCGCAGCTTTGGTCAGCTTGCCGGCGAGATTGACTGCAGGCCCTGCCCTTACCATGATCCTGTACTGTCTTTTTTACAGGGTCCCCCCCAAAAATGCGTTTTTCCTTTGATGGTCCCCTTAAAGCACTGAACAATACTCATTCCACAAACAACACACCCGTGGGCGCCAAACAAAAACGACCACAATTTGCGGCAGCCGATTCCGAGGATAATCGAATTTTGGGTGAAGCCACAATCTTTTGAGTGGACCCAACTTTCCATTTCCCACTGAAATGGTCCAACCCCAAAAAGTGAACATCAAGCCCGAAACGAAACTCGATCGGAAGTGAGGCAAACTCGGGACCTTGGATTCCGTGCCACCGCACTGCTCTGAATCTGGCCTCTCGGTTTCTGCTTCCTGGGCTGCTCTCAGATCCCCCGCTAGAAGTGAATAACTGGTGTGGGTTAAATTCGGAAATCCAACCACCAAACAGGAACCAAGAAAAACGGGCCAAACTTGGAAAACCCAAAAAGCTAAGGAACCGCATGGCTGGGCTTGCCACCAAGTATTTCTGGGTGTCCGAGCCTTCCTTCTCGCCAATCTCGGCCAGGCCCTTGAGCGCCTGTCACTTGCTCTCAGCTTCGCCCCCTGGGTGGCTTGGAGCTTCCTTCCATTTGGTTCAGACCAAAACGGAAAAATATGTCCAGTGAAATCGATTCCAACCTTAAAACCAACGGGGGAAAATAAAAACATCTTCATTTCAGCAAATGGAAGCTTGGTGGTTTCCCATTTAAGACCCAGGGGCCTCGAATTCCCAAACGACCAATCCAAACCATCAACTCGAGGGAACCTGATTTTTAGGTTGCAATGGCTGCCCCATGGCTCGCAGTCACAATCAAAACCCGGTATTAAAATGGTCGTAATCCCAGAACCATGTAAAGAATCAAGAAGGCGGACATCCGCAACTATTTCTGGCTGGGACTGCCCCTTACTAACCTTCATCTACCCGGGTTTTGATTGTGACACAAATGACTGTGGCTCAAAATCCAGTCCCCGGTTGGTAGGTGGCTTTTCCGTGAAAAGCCCTGTTGCCTTTACAGCCATGACCCACCAGAAACTGTAAAGAATCTGAAGACCCGCGCGTGAGTGGCGCAAAACATCGGAGCCATTCGCCGATTCGCTGGCGACACGTGAGGGAGCCCTTACCAACCACAACTGGTGACCTTTTGGAAACACTACATGGCCCAGGTAAAAGGGGCATAGAAGCCATCTAACACAATGGAACCCATCAATTCTCATCAAACCCTCTAAAAGTTGTTACTATGAAACATCCATTTCCAAAAATCCAAAGATCCGAACAGAGCACCAGTGGAACCAGTGGAACCCGTTAAAATCCAAAATGTTAAAATCTAAAAGGCTAAAGTCGAAAGATGCGATCGCCATGAAGAAACCAACCGAGCGAGACCCAAGCTCAGGATGTGGCATGGTTGATGGTCTCGGTGCCGTTGGACATGAAGGTGATCTCGCCTTCACGGCAAAGCCCGACCATATCCGCTCTTTCTTTGAGGGTGCCCGTTTTTTTTTTTGGTTTTCCTGGGCTGCAACTTTTAGTGGGTCGGCTTTCAATGCCCTCCAGGAAAGAGTGGATAATGACCGAGAGAAGAGGTAAACAGGAGATAATGATGGATGGGATCTCTTTCACCCATCCAGATATTACTTTTGGTTACATGTCATTTATCTTTCTATTCATCCTCCATTCATTCTCTTCGTTCATTCATATGCTTTTATTTTCTATTTATTTATTTGATTGCTCCGCTGGAAAGAACTGGCCAGCGGGTGAAGTGTAGTGAGTGAGTGACCAGGAGAAGCGAATGAACGGTGGAAGGGTCTTATTTGGAGGCGTTCCCGTGGACGAAGGTAGCGGGTCTTGGACGCAATTTGTGTTTTAGATTTTCACGGGGCGTCTACTACATAGGTATATATAATAGCCGCGTAAAGCAAAAGGGGGCTTTCTCTGCCTTCCAAGGGGCTCTTGCACAGTGCCTAGCTGTGGTTATTCAGCGCCTGTGCCTTTGCTGTGAATTGGGGTTGCATGTAGCCCACTTAGCCCACTTAGCCCACTTCGCAACTCGCACTAGCTCCCCTTTCCCGACGGCCCATTCCATCCGGATGTTTCCACGCTTCCGGGGGCTTGGAACAACTTTGAAGAGCAACCCCAACTTGAAGAGTAAATGCGAGTGTTTGCCACTACCCCACTAGTGCACATCTCACGTCGCAATGCTGGGTATACGGTATACAGTATACAGGTGTGATGACGGTTGGTTTGCGCTGTCGAGGGTGGTGTCAACTCAGGCTCCCAAACTACCCCTGTCAGTGGCCTAGCTTGGCGCATGCAGCTCGCTTGAGTAGATTGGCCAAAAACTCTGAAGTTTTGCTTGCTATTAACAGGGCTTACTGGATTTCCCCTGAAAACGTTCGAATTCTCCTGGTGTTGTGCACCGAAACTGCAATTTTTGGAGGTTCCCAAAAGAGAAATGGCGGAGCCGCCTGACTAAACTCATCTCAGCGGCACTTGTTCGACGCGAAGCCGCACTGTTGGCCGCACTGTTTTGCGGGTGTGAAACATCTTAAGCGCATGGCCCTAGCTGGGCGGGGCGATGCAACACCTTGTCACGTGCTAAAGCCGCCAAACTGTCTAAACAACCTTCTTGTGGATTCCCTCTACTTGGTTGCTGCTGATCCCCCCCAAAGAAAACAAATTTATTGGGTCCAATGGAAAATCCACTGTTTCCCAAGAAGCTGAAGTTCAAAGATCCAACCAAATCTCGGTTGCTTTCTGCTCCCCTGCTAAAAGTTTAACTTTTAGTGGTTTAGTGGAAAACCCATTCGTTGGCAAAAAGTTGTTCAGTCCTAACAGCCCTTGGCAAAATGCACCAAAGGTTTAAACCGCCTCCTTTTGGACTCCTTTTGAAGGGCACCTGGGTTTGGTTCTTTACAAGAATTGTGCCAGCCCGAAGCGCATCTGGTCGCATGGTACGTGAGCGGCAGTGTAAGATCTGCCTAAATATCTTGCCCCAGGTACAGGTTTGAGCAAATTTGACCCACACAACTTGTTGAACAACATCCTAGTGGCTTCCCGGTTCCTCGGCACATCTGGGGTAAGCAGAAAACATATGATATTTGTTGGATTCTGCTTCACATCTAGCCCACCCTGGAAAATAAACACGTTTTGGAGGAGAACCTTTCTATCATGCCCTTACAGAACCCCTGGTAGCTCCTGAACTCCGGGGTACTCAGTAAGTGAAATAGCCCCCGTACCATGGTCACAAATCTCCGTTCAGTGGGTAGGCTTACTAACCACATCGTAAGTCCAATGCCCCTTTAAGTAATGTATCAAACCAACCCAAAAACCAACTCAAAGACAGACAGGCTGCATGGTCCACACATGTCCATGTATGAACCCCTGGTAAAAACCGCTAGTTGATGGGTTCATGGAGCTGCTTAATTGTGGGAAATCAGCCCCCAGACAATCCAGCCACCAGCTAGTCTGCTAGGTCCTCCAGTAGAGGGGTTGGAATAAGGGTACCCTTTTTTCTGCCGTCTATTTTAGTAGGGGGGTTTCCTCCCAACCAAAAAGGGGTGAGAAAGGGCACTACTGGGGGACCCAGTCTGGTTTCGGGGCTTAGCTACCTGCGCAGGCGATTTGCCTCAGCCTGCAGCGCCGAAAAGCGCTCAGTCACCGTGGACAGGGAGCTCTTCAGCGATCGGACCTCCTGCCGACTGAGATCATCCCCCTACCTTCGTGGCAGGTAGGGGGTTGCCTCCATTTGCCTAAGTCGCCCCCTAGTGAAAAAGTGAGAAACTGTGGCCAGTAGTGAAATTGATTCCCTTGAAAACCAGCAGGGGAAAATAAATCATATCCTTAAGCAAACGGAAGGTAGCTCCAGAAAAGTGGTTGGGGGGATTTTATTTTCCGTCTTGTTGTGTCATGCTCTGGCTCAAGGTGGCAACCTGGCACCTTTTAAAGTCCTCATCCGACCGTGTTTGCACATCTGCTAACCCCTTCTGGCGGCTGCCTGATTGTGCTTCATGTCAAATACTTCAGAGACAAAATGCAAACATCGGTGATTTACCCTCCCAGCTAACATGGGCCTGTAGAAAGACTACTTTCTTCTTGGAAAGGGGCCTTTTGCACTTCCATGTTAGTTGGTGGGATGGTATTTTGCTCAAAAAACAAGAGTTCCACCATTGGCCTCTGCCCCCTTTTGAAGGAGATCCGGACCACTCTTGGGGCCAAAATATCGTTTTTTTGTGCCGTAGGTTGACCAAGAACCCGAGTCCCGGCGAAAAGCAAGGACTGGATGCTCAGTACAAATAAATTCAATGTACCCAGAGGGACCTTACCAAATGTCCACTATGGGCACGTCTCTTTTTTGAGGAGCCTTCTAGGGGTGACCCAATTTCAAGAGTCCGCATTTTTGAGGGTTGAAAAGCGCATTGGTGGCAACGGGTCCCTTGGCACTTTCTGATACCCAAAGGGCAGTCGACAGGGGTCAAGCCTCCAGCCCCTCGACAAATGATCTCCCCCCCCCTTCCATTGGCTGGAGCTGCCGGGAAGCTCGGGCTCGCCCGTTGGGGGATGACACATACCCTGGTGTATGTCTCAAAAGGGGAAGCCTCAAAAAAGGGGGAGGGGCAAAAAGTCCCCCCCCCCCCCCAAAGAAATACGCGCGCGTGTAAGCGCAACGACCCCCTTACCAAACCACAAGTCTGCCCAAAGCGGCACCTGCGCACTTCCCTCCTTGGCCCGGAAGTTGACTCAGAAATCAGAGAGAGGCTCCTGGAACCGGTGAATCGTTTGGGATAGTCAAACAACAGAGACTTAATTTGCTAAAGGCCATCAGTGCGGGTCAAGAAACCTGCAAGCGCCAATGGCCAAAACTCAAACAATGGTTACGCCGAACGCCAGCGTTGGCGTTAAGGCAAGTCCTTGCTCAGGGCTGCAGCTGTGGCCTTCTCCTTAGCTGCCATGGGAAGCGGCCCACGAGGTGCAGAACACAAGGCATTCCCGTTCTTGAACCGCTCCTAAACACAACATATTCGCCGGTTTCTGCTTGGTTGACGTTGGAAGGTGAGCATTTGTTCAACTTTAGCAGTTAAGTGGTTGGATTTCAACCACTGAACCACAACAAAAAGCATGTAACATGTTTCCCAACAACAACCGTGTGTGCGGCAGCGATGGCAATCATGCCAAGAGAAAAGAGATAAAACTCATCTAGAAATCGCAAAACCTGAAAGGAGCAGATCGGGAGACTTAGCGTCCCCATCTAAGCCGGTCGGTCAATGTACAGAGCACCCGCCTTTCCATTCCGTGCCACGTTGCACCAGCCGGGGAAACCATGAGACGCGGCTCAAGCCTCTAAGCCTCTAAGTATCATCTTTTTGTAACTTGGCCATTGGATCCAACACGAGCTTTCATTTCATCAGAATTGCAAGCCTGTCTTACAAATGTCAGCTGCTCAAATCAGTACAGGGCCAGAAGCAAACTAGGAACTTCCAGCGTTGGAGGCCAAATGACTGCAATTCTCACCCCGACAAAAAGGGAACCCATGTCAAGGAACCCTTCCGCCGGAGTAAACGACCCTTCCACCGCCAAAAAAAAGCGTAGATCCCTCCATGTGGGTAAAGAGGGTGTCGAACCCATACATCCATTTGCTTAAGTTTCCTGGAACAATGAAAATATGTCCGGTAGTGATAGCTTCCCATTAAAATCAACAGGGGAAAATAATAAAATATTCATTTCAGCAAATGGAAGCATATGGGAGAATCCGGCCATCCGCCCGGATTCGCCAAGAGGCAAGCGGAAGGCAGCGCCCGCACTGCACAGCAGTGTCCTCCGAGTCCGCTTGGGGCCAACATGGCGTTGAAACACAAAACCTCACTTCCGGTGGTCGAGAGCGGAGTAGGTCCAAGAAAACTGAGCGAACTTGTCATGTACCACTAACATGGTCCGAACCCCAAAAGTGACTACAGTCCAAGGAATGGATTGGATCCAAAAACAAGCATCCGAACTTCTTATTTACCATGAGAGCATGGTCCAAAACATTCCAGCCCATCGGGCCACGAACGATCGCCTTGGAACCTCGGGTCTGGGGGAATTTTTGGGGCAAGCAACGCCCCCAACCCCCCCCCCCCCCCCCCTCACGTTCTGCCGACAGCAGTTTTTTTGCCCACATTCTTCTTACCCCTTAAAACTCCAAGCCCTGGGAAAGTTAATCTGTTACAGACATATAGCCCATGTTACCCAAAAAGATGAAAAGCTGTGTTTTTAAGAGGTAAGTGGAAGCCTTCCAACTTGAAGCACCTGTTTTCCAGGATAGCAGCCTTCCAGGTCGCTCCCGGACCTCAAAAGTGTTCAATTACAAGCCGTCTGTTGGAATGGGGCGGTGATTTGGCTGCGACGTTTTCGGAGTTAGTACCCAATATTTGGAGCTTAGAAAGGGAACCAAACTAAAAGCCACAACTGATGGGGTCCCCCCCCCAAAAAAAAGAAAACAAACAAGACACCCGCGCAGTTGCTGGACCGCCGCCGGTTGTCTGAGCTGTGCCATCTTTCCTGCTTCTTGCAAGGCCCGAAGTGATCGTTCCTTGTTGTTCAGGGCCTGGACGTGCTGGAAAGCGGGAGTTTCTGGTACACGTCTTGCTCATGCATTGGCATCTTGGGCGCGCCAACGCACACACACACACAGCCACAAACGTTGTCCGATGCCCCCAGGCAACGTCGGAAAGCGGCCGCTTGCAGCCCACATGGAAAAAGCCAGATTTCTTTGCCCCCTTTGCGTGCGTGTTCATGCGTGTTCATCGACAGGTGGACCAGACATGAAGGCCCAGTGCTGGCAAAGCCTGCTCTCACTGCCGATCGAGCGGAAGTGGTCAGAAAAAGTAACGGTCCAAACCCAAAAAGTGCAAAGCTCAGGAACTGAGGAAGTGAGTGCGGGTGCCCTTGTTTTCCTTGTTTCGGAGCTTCCCTTTGAAAACTCACAGCCAACAAGAAGAGTGCCGTTGTTGCCCATGGCCACTGGGTCCAGATGAGTTCCTTGGAGTGAATTTGTGCGCAATTCCGGACTGCGTCTTCGGAGCATTTGTGTTCAATGAGTTTGGCTTATCTGCTTGCTTGTGCAGGGGTCTCCTCCTGGGTTGCGTGGCTTTGACCATCTTCGCACGTGAGCCATCGCTGTGCGAACCATCGCGCGTAGTATTAGCGCGGCGTCCCGTGCTGGGACAAGTCTCCCCTTCCTTGAGCTTGGAATCGGGGACGACTTCTGTTACTATTCCTTGACAATAGTGTTGGAGAAGTCTCATTCCTTGAACTTGTGGCATATTGTCTAGGTTTTTCAGTGGAGAGGTTGGAATAAGGGTGCCCTTTTACTGAAGTCTATTTTAGTAGGGGAACCCTCCCCAAAAAAAGAAACGGTAAAAGGGCACTACTGGGGGACCTAGTTGTGGAGAAGTCTGCCCTTTCTGGAACTTGGACACTGCTCACTCGCCCGCTCCTGCACTTCCCTACGGCCCCACACTCCCGCGCCGAATCGGTGCTCCTCCACCTGGCGGGCGGGGGGGGGGGGGGAAAAGCAGTGGCGAGGCCGGGCAATTGGTAGCCAGTGTTACTGGGGGACGGTTGGACCAAAACCAGGCGAAAGGATGGCAGAAAGCGCAAAGCGAATCTGACACTGATAGAAATCAGGCAAACTATATTTTTCCCCAGGGGGGGGACTTTGACCAGCACTGGCGAAAAGAGGCAACAAGCAATCAAAAGTGTTAAAGGATGTTAAAGGGAATTTCAGCTACCTCAAGAAATTGAACGGAAATCGTGTGTGTGTGTGTGTCTCCTTGGGCCTAGGCCGGCTGGCTTCAATGTGGTAAGCTCCAAGACTCTAGGATGGTTCCAATACCCCCTAACCACCCCCAATTGTTAAATGGGATATCTTCACAGCCCTTGGTAGCGTTGCAAAAAACGTTGTTCTGTGCGGCCCTCTACTAATAATGAGCAGAACCCCAACGACAAAAAACAATCCAAAACAAAGGACAGCTTGCCAAGAACGGTGATGATGTACAACCACTAAATAGCAAACACAAAAGGTAGACGCCCCAATTGTTCAGTGGGGGTAGTGGTTTGAGGGTAGTGGAAACCATCTTGGACCATCAACGAGTCGAGGTCCACAAGTGCCATGGGAAACAACGTTTTGCCCTTGCTTGGTTGTCTATTTTTGTGGCACCGGCAAGGGAACGGGATTTTTGTTCGCGCAAAGATGAACAGACACCACACTCAGAGCAAACTACCATTCCCAAACTGGAATTACAAGAAACCCCCAAACAACCTTTGTCATCGTTTTATACCGGAATCGCTGAGCTCCTTATGATTTGCCCAGATGCCATGCCAAAGACATTGTCCATGCGGGGCATGTCTTGACAAATTCGGGAAATCCCTTGACAAATTCGGGAAATCCCGACCCCCCCTTACAAGTTACAAGGCCACGGGAACGGGAATCCTAGCCTTGTCGGAACCCTCGCACAAGAAGCCGATGTCGAAGAAATCGAAGTCGGGCACCCCGTCACCTCAGCTCGATGGAACACTTGGCCGCGTCATCTATTTTATTTTTATATCTTTTTTTTTGGGGGGGGGGCTGTCCTCGGATCCCCACCAAAAGTTTAACTTCTGGTGGGTTGAATGGACATCCTCACTAAACACTAGGGGGTGGCTGGGCTTGCCGCCAAGTGGTTGCTTCTTTTTTTTCTGCGCGGGGGTGGGCGCTTGTTTGTTTGACATACTCTCGTGGAGTCAAAGTTGCGACTCACCAAAGCCCCCAATTCGAGTGGAGCGAATGCTGGCCCCTCGATTCTTGGTACTTGGTGCGTCAGCTTGTCAAAACACGGCTCCACTGCCATGATTGTTGCAGCTTGCTAAAACTGGGGCGCTTGACAAATTAACAAACACATTATCCCCTTGTAGCTCTCTTTCTCACTTCCGATCGGGTGGATGGGCCAAAAAAGTCTGAACTTTGCATTTATCACCAGAATGGTCTTCCCAAAAAGTTTAAAGCCCAGGAACTCAGGAAGTGAGTTTGAGCAAATCAAGATCCCAAAGCACGCCCGCCCGCGGCAGCGAAACAGTGCCATACAGCGACAAGGCACAGTCGCTGCGGAGGAAGCAGGAGCCCGAGCTACCGCGCCTCCGAAGGACATGGGTGCATTGCGCAGCCCCCCAGAAAAGGGCCACGAGGAACAGGGCAGCTCTTGTTTGTGGCAGTTTGCCACTCCAGTAGAGAGGTTAGAATAACTGTACCCAGTCTATTTAGCAGGGGAACCCTGCCCCAAACAAGGATAAAGACTGGGGGTTTATGTTCAGGGGAAACCATGGGAAAAAAGGGCGCCTCTGAGTGGATCACGTCGGAAGACACACTCATGATTTGTTGCAGACCGGTTCAATATGGTGGGGCTTCCAAGCAACGCTACCCCCTCCCATCCACATTGCCATGCAGCCTAAACGCCCCTACACAGAGACACACACACACACACTTCTTGCCAGGGCGCCAGGTGGTGACACATCTTTCCGGCCCGAAGCTCCGCAAGCTGCCGGACTGCCCCAGAAAGGGCACTGCCTGCCGGCGCTGAAACGGGCAGGCCGTGCCAGCAGGAAGAAACTGGCAGGTTGCTCCAAGCGCGTACGAGCGCTAGCAGGTTTTTGTAGGCTTCATTAAGCAGAGAACGGGGGTGTCATATTGAGCACCCCCCCCCAAAAAAAAAAGAAGTCATTTGTACGAACTTTGAGAAAACCAAAAGGTTGTTTTTGGGGGCGATTCGGCCGCACCAAAGGCTGTAACAATTGTTGCCTAACCACTGGTAGGTGATGAACATATTTTAACCACTGTTGTTTCAACAGCCTGTTGGTTTCCCTCTCAAGCGCCGACTAAACCATGAGGGGAACAAACGGCATCCTGTGCCGCTTGAGGTGTTCAAAAGAAATCCCAAAAAAAGTGGAGACACAACCGGCGTCAGTGGATTTCAAAGGAATCAAACAATGATCAACTTACGGATGGGTTCCACTCAAGGATGGCCACTAGCGTTTTTTAAACCCAGAGGCTCCCAAGATATTTAGGGCTCTCAAACGGCCAGGTTTTGAGCCCCCCAAACACCTCCGGGGTGTCTAATGAAGGTTGGGTCTTCAAGTCTTCCATTGAAAGGTTCAGGAGCCTCTGGGAAACGGGACCTGCCTCGGAAACGGGACATGCCCAGGGACTCTAGGAAACGGTTTGGATGCGCTCTTTGTGGAATTCACCTGTTCTTCCCCCAGGTTATTTTTTGGTACTCCTTTTAGTACTCTTTTGATCTCCTACAGGGGTGGATCCACAAAAACCGCATCCAATCCGTTTCCCAGGGACTGGTGAAGCCACTGGGCAACGAATTGGCGCACTAATTGGCGGTCCTTGGTCGCCTGCAGCGCCGCCTGCCGCGCCCGCCGGGCCTCGTTGGAATTTTTCGAGTGGTTCCCTCTATCCCACAACTTAGAAGATGACTTGGATCATGGTAAACTAATGAGGCCGCTTCGAGTTGAGGGTGTTGCGGGCGTGTGTAGGCGGATAAGGTTGGACACAAAGGGTCTCAACACAAAGGGTTTTGGATAGGGACTGCTGAGTTGGGCCGGCGTCAGGTTGGCTGAGGAGAAGTCCGGGCTAGGGGTCGGGTGCAGTTAGAGTATGTTAGAGGCAGGGTTAGTTTGGGGTGGGGGTCGGGCGCCTTTTTCCTGGGCAGCCCTGAGATCCCCCGCGAAAAGTGACTAACTTTTAGTGGGTCAAATGGAAACTACCACTAAAGACGAAAAGGCTAAAAAGCTAAGGAACGGGATGGCTGGGAGCCACCAAGGAAAGAATCAGGTGACATGCTCATGTGCCACTTCTTTTTGTTTGACTTCTTGAGGGGACTGGCCAAAAAGAGTCCAAACTTCTCGTTTACCCCTAAATTGGTCTTACAGGAGCTCGGGGAGTGAGTTTCAAGTCCAGCTTCCCTAGGCCGGTCAAGCTTTTTTTAAGAGCCTTAGACCAAACTCCCAGCGAACTTGTCTGGTTCACAAGCCATCTCCCGCTTGCCAATTATGCCCAAAACAGCGATAAACAACAGGTGACATCCCCAACAACAACCCCGAAACCCTGCCAGAACCCTCCCTTGGGAAAAAAAGGTTGAAGCATAAGTCAACATAGTGTTAAAACCTTCAACAAATGGTCTACCCAGGGTGGCGCCTGTTTATGGTTGGGACCCCTTGCTTTTAAAGTTGACTCTGCTCCTCTCCCTCCTCCCAACCAAGCCATAAGCCCCCGCACCCTCCCCCCAAAGCGCCGCCCAACACAGTTCTGGGAAATCACACCGACTCTGTGAAACTCAAGTAGGGGTTCCATCCAAGTCCGGCACCCTTCCAACCAGCGGGGTTTCCTCCAAGGGTAGAAGGGCACTACTGGACCTAGGCGAACATCTCCAGGTCAACGTGGAGGCTAGCACAACCCTGCGCCGGCTCTTGGGCAGATTTGTAGCTAGCCTTCCACTTGCTTTTTCCCCGCCTGGAAAAGATCAGCAACTGTTTCCAGTAGTGATAGATTCCGCTGAAAACAAACACTGGAGAAAAACAAAAAACACATATTCGGGAAAAAACAAAAACTGGAAAAACAAAACATTTTCCTTTCAGCCAATGGAAGTAGCGCAGCCAGCCTCCGCCCCACGCTTCCGCCGCCCGCCCCTCCGCCGGACATTTGCTCCGCGGAGTCGCCTTGGCCCACGTCTTCGCCGCGAAGGGCGCCTTCTGCGCCAGGCTCTGGCGCGCCGCCTTCACCGCCAAGGCCAGGTCCGCGTCCTGCGGAGAGCGGAGAGAAGCGGCGAAATGGCGAGGGCCGAGAGGTCGGTGTCAAAAAGGGGGGGAATTGCGGGCCAAGTGGCCATGGGTCAAAATCCCATAACCCCAGTGAACACCCCAATCCCAGTAACCCCAGTGGTCAGATGCCCGCAAGGCTCGTTTGGGTCTGGCTATCCGAAAAGGGGGCGTTGGGAGCAAAGGTTTCAGATGCAGAGGTTGCTATGCCTGAAAGCCTTGGCAAGCCTTGGAAGCCTCCCAGGAACCCAGCCGGAGCTAGCTCAAGGGATCCGACCTGAGCAACGGCAGGGCTTTCCAGCCGGGGAAGTGCCATCCAGTTTAGATTCGGTAGTTTGGATCTTTCGTTTTCTGCAAAAGCCGGTGGTTCAAAGCCCAAAAAATGCAAACCACCAATTGAGGGATACCAGAGTCATCCAATCCTTGCAAGAAACACGGTCTCGAGATTCAGTCAAACAAAACATCCCCTGTGGTTTCCGGTCCATTCCCAAAACCCTGGGTCATTCCCACCTGAGCACCAGCAATACAAACCAAGCAACACATTTCGCCCTCCCGTGCCGCGGACTAAAGGGCATCTTGCAACCAAAGGCCTCCAACACAAAGCCTCACTGAAGGAGTCGCAATATAGCCTTAGCTTCCAAGTGTCCACCCTTTCCCCCCCCCACTCACCCTATAAGGGAAGTTGAAACCACAAAATACCATAAACCACTCCAAGCTGTTTCAGGGTAAGCGGCCACAAGAGAGGACACACTTCTACCAGCGACGGGGGCCCGCAAACCCATATCCCCCCCCATCTGCCCCGCCCCGCCCCAGGCCCCCCACTTAAAGAGGCGTTGGGGTACTTAGTAAGTGGTCACTAAGCCTGGCAAAAGAACCCACTGAGCCGAGGCTTACAACCATGTATACTACGAGACGTTGACCTGACGTACCAAATTGATTGACCGGACGTACGCTGTATCGCATCGATCGCCCCCCGGGGTGCCCGCGTGGAACGGCCCCCGCCTCCGCCGAGTGGTTCCGCAGGCGCGCCAAGTTTCGCCGCAGCCAGGCGCCGGAGCGCGCCTCCTGGGCGATGTGCCCATGGAACCCTTCGAAGTGGGGGTCCTTGGTAGTGGCTTGGACCACTTTCCTTGCTCAAGGGACAGGAATCCCAGGTCAGGTTTCACGTGAAAAGGTGGGAGGGACTGAGGAGCAGCATCGTGGCAACTACAATTTTCTTGTCCCGTCTAAGCACCATCTAGGAAAGTAAGTCTCGCTGTTTTTCGCCGTTTCTACCATCAGAAAAAAAGCAAAGCCAAACATGTATGGCACCAAACCTCGACCCGGCAACCCCGGCCCCACATTCAGCTTGCTCTAATTGGTGGTTTGGAGACTAAGTGGTGGGGGGATTCTTCATGTTCTCTCTTCTTGAACCAGGGGTGGAACCCCCAACTAATACCAATCCAAACCATCAAGCAAGGGATACCTGAAGTATCCTCCACTTGTTATTAAAAAAAAAAAAAAAACGCCCCTAGAGATTAAACCCAGCTCAAAAAAAGGCCAAAGCAGCCTGCACCAAGTTGTGTGGGCACATGCCATCAGGGTACCTGCACTAGGTCCTCCAGCAGAGAGGTTAGAAATAAGGGCACTCTTTTTTCTGTAGTCTAGGGGCTAAAAGGGCACCTAGCTGGGGGGACCTAGTACATGCCGCCCTCGCCCACAGAAAAACCCCACCGCCCAACTCGGAACTCGGAACTCGAGTCGCCTGCGCCTGTGCCTGCACCGCATCTGCCTCCGCTGTTAAGGCGGCCTCCTGCGAGAGAGAAGTGGCCAGCCGTTCACTGTATGTATGTATGTATATATATATATATAGTTTCGTATACCTATATTGATGTGTACATATTCATATATACATGTACTATCTCTGTATATATGTATATATGTGTTTTACCTTCTTAATTTTATTGTTTTGTGAAAACAAAAACCATGTATATGAAGGGGTTGGTCCTTTAATCAACCTGCTGTGGCCCTGCTGTGGCTCGGAACATTGGGACTTAGCAATGCATGAAGCAAACAAAGATATATGCGTACCCGCTTGGTTTCCGTTTCGAATTTAAATCTTGGCCGAGCTTATTTCAAGAAAAGACAAATCACTACTTGTTTCCGGCTTGGCCTTGGCTGCAAACCAGTGGTGGACTACTCCACTGCCCTAATTAGTAGATGCACCCGACTACAAAATATAGCTATACCAACCTTCAAGTTGGCCAATAATACTAATCCAAGGCTATGCCAGCAAGTCCCTACCAACTCCAGCCGTATTCGGGGACACTTTAGGTGTGCGCAAATCAACCTGGCAGGTTTAATCGGGAGGTCATGTTCCCCCGACATTGGACCTGTGGTCATATCTGGTCTGAAAGTGGGACGCAAATACGCTACCCCCTCTTTCGGAAAACTTAACACACCTATGGACGAAAGTGGGTCGATCAAAAGGTCCGGTAAACATGAGATGACCATTGGTTGGAAAACCCCTAAAGAGACCTGATATGTCAACTACATGGATCAAAAGTTAGCCATGGTGAAAACTGGGGGGCCGCAGGTTGAACCCCCGCATCCAGGAACCTGAGCCCGGAAGCTTTCAACAAAGCACTGAGCCTCCCGCCTCGGCATTTTCGCTCTCTGCCAGGAAGGAGATGGCGTCGAAGCCAGAAGGCAGCACGTCAGGAATCTTCGGCGGGGCAGCTTGGGCGCCTCAGGTGGCCAAAAACAACAACAACAACTAGGTCCTCTGCTTAAGTGTTGTGGAAATCAAATATGTCCAGTAGTGATAGGTTCCCTTTAAAGCCAACATGGACAATTCAACAGCTTAATCATCTAGGTCCTCCAGCAGAGAGGTTAGAATAAGGGTACCAACTTTGGTTCCGTAGTCTATTTTAGTAGGGGGGGGTTCCTCCCCCAAAAAGGGGTGAGAAAGGGCACTACTGGGGACCTAGACAAACTGAGGGCAATATGACTTGGGTTTCCGCGAAGGATACATCCACTCAGACCTGCAAAATCAAGGATCTGGAGCCGCCAAAATCGAGTCGCCAGGTAGTTGGGTCATTTTTACATGGGCCCCAGCTATCCTTCAAGGCACCCCGAAGAAGGCCCAGAACTCCATCTCACGAGGGGGTTGGGCGGTCATTCGCAGTTCGACTTTCGGCTGTCCGACGTGGAAGCACATCGGCTTCCAGGGACCTCTCTCCCCCCAACTGAGTCATAATCAAAACCTGGTACAAGAATGTGGCTACGTGTGCTTACCTCCTGCCACAGCCCAGCGCATGTCACCTTCACGTACATGCACATTATGTATGCACAACTTTCTGGAGCCAGCTCAGGAGCTACCCAAAGTCCTGTGAGTCATAGTCAAAACCCGGTAGTAAAATGGTCTACCCAGAACTATGTAAAGAACTAAGGCGGACATCCGCAGCTATTTATGGCTGGGATTGGCCCTTACTAACCTTCATCTACCCGGGTTTTGAGCAAGTGGCTCAACTGCTGTTTTGAGGCGGGGGATCCTCACCTGCGGGCCAGTCAGCTTCGCAGAGGAGTCCGAATGAGGGCAGGAAGGTTCGCCAAAGCCTTGTCAGAACCAGTCCTAAGGTTCCCTAAGAATCTTTGGGGTAGCCTCTCCTATGAACCAGTCCTAAGATTTGGGGTTGGGGGAGGCCCGAGTTTGTAGGGTCTTCCCCCAATTAAGCCCTCCCCCCTGTCCCTGGAACACGAATTTCCTGCAGCAAAGGCTCTGTTGGCGACCGCCGCGCTTTGCTTCGCGAGGCCCGCGCTCACCTTGGAAGCGCTCACCTGCGCCAGAGACGCAGCCGGAACCGGAGCCTCCTCGACGTCTAGGTCTTCTTCATTGTCTGCGTCCTCCTCCTGGTCACCTACAGCGAGTTCGGACACAGGGGCTGCTCGCCCTGTAAAAACGCGGGACACCGCGTTTGGAAAACCACCCACTTACCCAACTAAGATGGGCTTGGGGGGTACCATCAGCACTCGCATTGACACATCACTACGTTAGTTCACAGATCCGTGCTGAACAGAAGGGCTCGATCACGGCACCAAAGTGACTGGTGGCAGCCAATTTGCCAGTTGAGGGGATTCCTTGTACAAGGGAATGCCCATTGTTTTGGCATTGGCACAAAAGCTCCTACAAACCAATTTAATGGCCTTACAGGGGCATTGGGTTGTAGGATGATCACTGGGATTCACTATGATTTACTTTCCCCGGAAAACAGCCCAACATGACCCAACTGTACCACAGCCCTTGACGCACTGGCTCGGCATCGGTTGGCCCCTGGTATGTCTTTTTGTCAAGCGCCACATAAAAAAGGGGCAACGGTTCCGGCGACGACGCAACTGACTGTTTTCAATAGCTTGGGCCGTAAAATTGTTTTCACCCTCTTGCTTGTTTCCGTGGCTCGTGGAGAACGTGGCATGGTTTGGCTGCACCTACAGGTATGAATATTCGTATGAATGTATACGTATGTATATACGGAAGGCTGCAGACTCGATCAACTCGATAGGAACGAGACGAGTTGCAATAGGTAGTGTCCCTTTGTTTGGCCATTCCTCTTCGGCCAGCACAATCTAAGAGTATTGTGTCCCTTTAAAAGAGCAAGCACAATCTAAAACACTTCTTCTTTGGATCGTCTTCCAATTGGAGCCCGAATACCAGAAGGCCATCCACAATGTTTAATCAAATCGGGACACTATAATGTTGACCTACGATTAGTAAATAGACCATAAATAATGCTAACCGATTTCCCGAAAAAATGATAAATATACCATGAATAATGCTAACCGTTTTTTCCCAGGGAAAATATGAAAAACAAATACAAAATAGAATAAAGTAATTCAAAAAAATAACCTTCCCCCCCACATGAATGAATGAATCCTGAGTTCCCCAGCTCACAAAAGAACCTAGAGTTCCCATTGGGATCCATGCAAAATGCAGATTTTTATTCAAGGTCAGTGCTCCCAACCCTCATCCCCCATGGAATTTGCATGGTTTCATAGTGAATTTATATAGGGATCATGCCAGCATCCCTTTCTTTTACAATTCCTTTTAAAAAACCATCAAAATCAACACATTGACCCTGGCAGCAAGGGTCCCCCCATGAACCCTGAGGCACTAAATAAAAACCAGACCATGAATAATGCTAACAAGATTCCACCATCAAAAAAAATATCTGATCCCCTTATCTTTATTCATGGTCAAGCGTTCGATTCCACTTGGCTCACCCCACACTTGATTCTAGATGTATCCCAAATCCACAAACTTTATGGGATCCCTTTCTTTAAAATTCTTTTTTAAGAACCATCAAAATCAACACACTGACCCTGGCAGCAAGAGTACCCCCCATGAACCCTGAGGCACTAAATAATAACCAGACCATGAATAATGCTAACCAGATTCCCCCATCAAAAAAAATATCTGATCCCCTTATCTTTATTCATGGTCAAGCTTTCCATTCCAATTGGCTCATCCCACACTTGATTCTAGATGTATCCCAAATCCACAAACTTATGGGATCCCTTTCTTTTAAAATTCCTTTTAAAAAACCACCCAAATCAACACATTGACCCTGGCAGCAAGAGTGCCCCCCATGAACCCTGAGGCACTAAATAATAACCAGACCATGAATAATGCTAACCAGATTCTTCCTGGAATAACCAAAAGTTATTGGCTCAATACTACTTTAGAATTAGCCCAATTCTAAACTAGTATTCCCCCAAAGCAAAATAAGAAAAAAACAACATGCCCAATACTACTTTTGAATTGGCCCAATTCTAAAGTAGTATTCGAATGCCAAAAAACTGAGCCCAATACTAAACTCCTTTAAACAAGGCCCGACCCTGAAGATTCTCCCCTAATCTTTATTTATGGTCATTCAGGGGGGGGGGGTCCTATTTATTAATCATAGGTCAACATTATCCCATTCCGAGTCAGAGTGATTGATAAACAGTAATGGCTCCCGTTGCATTGGGACGAAATCCTGCACCACCTAAGAAACCCTGGAATGATCACTCCCCTGTAAACCAACGTCTGCAATGGTCTCCAATGGTTTCAAAGTGGTGCGAACGGATTTCGTCCATGTTGGTCCGCGAATCGGCAAGTAAGTCCAGAAAGTCCTAAAGCCCGCTGCTTCTAAGGAAATCCTCGAAATCCGCTGGTAAAGGCAGTGTTTTAATAGACGCCAATGCAATGTTTTGGTGGGTGCCGCATGCGGGGAACCCCCTGTGACGTGACGCCTCCATCCTCAAGCTCCGCTGGAAGGGCGCTGCTGTGCGCCAGCACCTCGCCAGGCCCCGTTTGGCGGCAAACTCTGGGTGTCGCAAGGTGGGTGCAAGATGATATGGAGATCCGGGGTTGAAAAAAGCAGGGTCCTCTTCAAATGAGCGGTTCTCTAAATACTTGACAGGGGGTCCCTTTAAAAGGAACAGAAGTCTTCCAGGCCTCCCCCTATCAGGTTCCATGTTTCTTGCCGGAGTGCATTTCGCCAAGGGATGTTAGGACTTTGCCAACTCATGGGCTTTCCGTATTCAACCGCTAAAATTTATAAGCTTTTGGCAGGGGAGCAGATTTCGCAACCTTTTTGCCTGAACCCCACAGGACCAGGGGGGAGTGGGGTGGGGGTGGGGGGGGGGGGGAGGTGAGCTGGGCAGCTGGCCTCTGGCCCCAACAGCCCTGGAACCCTCTGCAAGGCTCCGGAAAAGCGCCCAGGCCCCCTTGAAATGCAACGGGACGAGTCTTGAGCAAACGGAAGCTCAAGAAAATGGAAGTTCCACAAAGACGCCTCTTCCAATACCTCCACTCATGCTTGAATTCCGAGCAGCATTTACGGATTTCGGGGAGTGATGACTGCGTCCAGTCAAGTGACATTCTCCAAAACACTCTTGAAGCAACCATTTACAACTGGTGGCTTCCAGCCATCTCAATGACTTGAAGGGAACCCACCTTCAAAAGCGATCTTGAGAACCGCCCAAATCGCAACTTGCCCAATTTACCAACATTCGCCTGGATGGGATTCAATAAGGTTCCTTAGATTTGATACATCCAAGGTGATGCTTGCAGTTCAAGGATTTGGATCCTGCACATTGATTTGCTGCTATGGCAGTGGGTCAAAAATATGTACCCAAAATGGGAACCCTGGTAAATGGAAACATGGATTAAACCTGTAGTCCCATGGTGATATAACACCAATTCTTCCCTGGGTTGCTCCAAGACCCCCTGAACGAGCCAACGATCCTAGCGACTTGTTGTAGGTTTAATCGAAAAGCGATATGTATCCTCCCTCCCCCTATCACGGCACCTGACAGGGGTCCCAAGAGGAAACTGTTCTCCCAGGTGCAGCAACCACAAATGCTGCGTTGGGAAGGGTAAACTGTACAACCCTTGGTGGCATGCTTGCAAACAACTGGGTAAGTTGCAGCCCCTACCAAGAATGATTGCAGAAGAACCGGGGGAACAAAAGAACAACAACGGAACAAGCAACCAACTAGAGGCTTGAAACCCAGAGGAGTACCTTCCCAACATGGAACCTGACAGAGGGGTCCTGGAAGACCATTTGTCCTACAGGGAACCGTGTCAGGTTCCATGTGAAAAGGGTGCAGGGTAAATCCAACCACACGCCTCTCCTTCCTTCCATTTGGTTGAGACCCCTGGACAAAAATGAACATACTTCCAGTAGTGATAAATTCCTTTTAAAACCAACAAGGGGGAAACAAATAAGTCAAACATATTCCTTTCAGCAAATGGAAGCTCCGGTCACCCGCGCGGTTCGGCCAAAACCGACCCGACACGCTCGATTCACTCGGCCTGGCTCAGCGCCAGCAGCGCCAGCCACTTCATTGAGCCGACGGCTGCTTCGGCTGCCGTGAGCCGGCGTTCGCAACGAGCTCCCGGAAGCAACTTGCTGGTGCTACTCGGTGGCTTTCTGCTGCGCTAAAAGTTGTTCACTTGTAGTGGTTTAATACGGAAAACCCATTGGTTGGCAAAAAGTTAAAGTCCTAACATCCAAACAACATGCACTCCGACAAGAAACATGGAACCTGATAGGGGGAGGCCTGGAAGACTTCTGTTCCTTTTAAAGGGACCCCCTGTCAAGTATTTAGAGAATCGCTCTTTTGAAGAGGACCCTGCTTTTTTCAACCCCGGATCTCCATATCATATTTTGGCGCAGCGCGTGGGCCAAGCAAAAAAACAGGGTCCAGGAAGCAGGGCCTTGTTCTTTGTTCTCTGAGGAGGAGGGTGCAATTGTTAGAAGACTTGCTGGTGCTGGGTAGGGAATGACTTTCCCTGTGTTGGGATGAACCTAGAAATTCCCTTAAAGGAAGCCATAGGAGATGGTTTATAGGGGGCATTCCCTCATTCCCTGCTGAGCACCAGCAAGCAACAGATTGCCCAAAAGAAATCAAACTCTTTGACTGTACTGAATGAATATATACATATATCATGCTAAACCGTATCAGGAACCTCTGGATTGACCCCAAAGAATTCAAGGCGCCCTTACTGAGACAACTTCCGAAATCCAAACATTTGAGTGAGGATGGGTGGTTCCCTTTACCTTTCAGCCCCAAAAAGCGTGCGTTCCGAGCAGCGCATGTCAGACCAGACTTGGCTGTCCCAAAAGCCCTGCCCCTTAACGCGGGTGTTACGGGATCGGAGAACCGTCAATGACCCACCCTGTTAGTTCCTTTTTGGCCAACTCCCATGGCAATTTCACCGCCCGGCCTGTTCCACCAACAGGGATGCTGCTCAAGTGGTGCAAAAACAATAGCATTTGTTCTTGTAGTTGAGCCACCAAGTCGGGCCTCCTTTTCTTTTGGTTATTCTCAGACACCGATTGCGACATGCAACATCCTTTCGCCCGACATCCTTTGGCCCTCAGGCACCAAAGCCTGCTTAAGGCATCTAGGCATCTTGCCCGACCTTCAAGAGATAGGGCCGGGTGTAAGACAAAGGGTCTCAATGTGTTGCCCATCCCCTCGTGGTTTGTTTCCTCCATTGCTTTCTCGCTCTCTGGAAAAATAAACATTTCCAATAATGAGGGCGTCCCTTCAAAACCAATGGGAAAGTCACAAACACACATATTCTTAAGCAAATGGGTCTTTTAGTGGAAGGGGAAGCGTATTCTCAAGCAACTAGACCTTCGATTGGTTGACCAGCAGAGCTACTTAGCCAGGAAGGTATCTCAAGCAAAGTGTCCGATGAAAACGGGGAAGTGAAGGAAAACCAAAAAGGCAAAGAGCAAAACTACTAGCCACACTCCAACTAAGTCACCGGACAGGGTGTCCCCACAAGAGGAAAATGATTTTCCACGTACCTTCCCACAGGTGCTATGTTAGTGGAAGGGAGGGTTGCTACAGTGTGAAAATAGATCGCACACTTCCGGCTCATTTTGCTGTCCTCAAATTGCACATGACTCTCCGGACAGGAAGTTGAATTCCAACTCATGTTGGTGTCCCATCCACGAACACGGAACCTGACGTTTCGGGGTAAATTGGACGATGTTCCTTTCCAAGGGACCAATTCTCCAGTGGGTTCCATGATGGATACGAGGGTAAAACTCGAGGAATACTGGGATAAACTCGGCTCCCTAAAGTAGCTACAACCATACATGTTGGCGTCTTTTTTTGGGGATGAACCGACCCCCCAAAAATGGTGGGTGGTTTTCCTGTTGGCTTCCCAAAAGACAGCCAAAAAAGGGATCCCCTGCAACAAGGCAGACCCATTCCCCTGCAGCTTATTGGTGTCGCTCCGGCCTGGCTCCGCCCCGACCAACTCTGCACATTGCCTCGGACTCGCTGCTTTCTCTAGCAGTACTCCCGGCCAATCTTTTCATGGACCCGAAACAGTGGGACACTATAGAAGTTGTGTCAACCACTTAGGGTGTTGCAACTCTTGGAGCCCAATATTTTTTGTTAGGTCGGGTGCGAGGGGAACTTCCAAGCGCATTTCCCGTTTCGCCCGGAAATGGAACCCGCACCCAACGGTCCACCTGTAATGGGAGGTTCGTTCCCAAAACCAGAGAGAGATTGCCGGCGGGTGAAAGGGTGCCAACCCCTGCCTGGCATGGGATATCAAGCTCGCATCGTGAGCGACTTTGTCATAGCTACATCAACACCTGGGTATGTGTCAAACAAATCGAATCGGTAGTTATCCCAAACAAATGCAGAGGTTTCCTTTTGGTTCCCGTTCCAAACCTGGCCCGGCCTCAGTAGGGAATGACCCAAATGAGAAATGAACCTAGAGATTCTCTGAAAGGACTAGACTAAAACCCCCAGTTGCCGCATTAACACAGAAGGTGAAGGGTCAATCCACACTGCCTCCTCCACAAAGCAAGTGTCATTCCAGCTCTCATTCCCTGAGCACCAGCAAGAAAAGGAACCCCCCAAAAACAAAAATGCAACGGCTTCCTTTGGGTTCCCTTGAAACCCGTCCCAAAAAAGAGTACCGACTCAAAAGACACACCCCACATCACCCCAGCGCTTCACCTCTGCCGCAGTCCGCATCGCCTTCTCCCCGAGCCCCCGCCTCCTCGCCTTCTCTATGGCCTTCTTCGCCTCGCGAGCTTCGCGGATGGCCGTTTGCTCACCAAGGGCTGCGGGGAATAGAATGACCACTTCTGTGATACAACAGAAAGGGCCTAACCCCAAAGACGAGAGTTTCTTCATGGAAAGGGCTTCGGATTCTAACTTGTATCACAGAAGTGGGGAGAAACCCCTTGATCCCACAACCCTTTTCACCACTCTTGCTGGTGCGGTACAGGTGCGGAAGGCAGGGAAGGAATGCGAATTGGACTGACCCCGAGAGAAACCATCCAACTGGTGGTTTCCTTCAAGCCTTGAAGGCCACCACCAGTTACTTCAGGGGGGCAAAATGGGCCAACGCCCGGGCACGCACCGTTTTCAACCAGCACACACCAAGTCTCAGCCTTGCCGAAAGCCCAAAGGGGCTACAGTTGAAACAACTGTCTACTGCTAGGTGTGGCTGCTTGTGTCCTTAAGTCCGATTGACCCTTTTCTCAGTCATTGAAGCAGGCAAGGGGCCTTTTGAAGAGCATGGTAGTCTTTCAACACCCTCCTGTCAGCTTTCACTTTGGCTGAAGTGTCGGCCACCGGGGAACTGCAAAACGCCAGACGTGATTGCTGGAATGCTGGATCCATTTCCGTTCGACATGGACGCAGACATACGCCTGAAGCTTGGTGCAGGGTCTCATCGCATTCGTGTGGCGCGGCCAATGCGAAGGAACAAGTTGGAAGTTCACGGCCATGGGCATGGGCATAGGTCAATAGCATGGAACCCCAAGGGGGTGGCTTTCCTTTGAGCTTTCCTTCAGATTCAATCAAAGGTGCAAAGGGGAAGCTCAACAAAACACCTTTCTAGTGCCTTGCAATACTTTCAGAACATGCGCCTGACCTCTCCCTGCTGTCTCCCTCCAGCTCGGAATTTTCACATCAAGGAGCAAAAGAAAGATGATGGGTCCAGCTCCAAAAACCTCCCAGCTCGACGTGTCCAGCCTGAATGCCATAGTAGTGCGAGGAGGATGGGTTGCCCCATTGAGTCCTTATGGAAATCTTAAAAAAAAAACCTTTCGGGGCTTTGGGAATCCCTGCCCTTTAGGGACCCAGTTGCCTAGCACCTCTACCAAAAATGGTTCCCCAAATGGCAACCAAAAGGTCAAAAGGTCGATTACCTCTACCAAAAACGGTTCCCAAAATGGTGGAAAACCTAAAGGTCAGAGCAAAAGGTCGATTCGCTTACAACTGAGGAATCGTGGGGTGGGGGTGGGGGTTCTCTCCAGCAGCTGGATGGTTTGAGTCGGGGTCAAAAATTCCCTTCGCTGAGACAGTCCGCAGAAACCGAGACCAGGAGCAGCTGACTCGTTGGAATCTAGACCAACCGAAGATCTTGGTATATGTTAGGATCCGGATGCATGAAATACACCTGAACATTGCTTGCCTTGTAAATGGTGGCTTCCAACTTTATTTTGGTGTGGAAAAAGCCACATGTAACTCAAATGGATGGGCAAAATGGAGATCTTTTAAGGAGCCCTGTATATGTCCTGATTTAAGCAACCGCACGTGGGCAGCCAAAGCCGGGCAACATCTCACAATGAATGTCCTGCCTCTGCAGTCTGCAAATCGCCAAACAATACTTGGTTGCTGTTGACCCCTCCGCGAAAGGTTGAACTTTTTGTGGGTCCAATGCAAAATCCCACCTGCTTCAGCCAAAAAAGCTAAAGTCCAAAGATCCGCTTGCATATACCTATCAAGAAGAGGCAAACAAATGGGATTCCAACAGGCAGCCCTCCCCATGCCAAAGGAGATGGAGTCTCTCGGCACTGCCCGTTGTATATAAGCCCCGGGCATCATGGCAGTCATGGCCTCTATCACCTCCCGGTCCAACGGGGTGGTACCTAGGCCGGCGAAGTCTACCTCAAGGCGCCTGATAAGCCAATAAACGAATGCCTGCTAAAAAGGGAGTCTGAAAAAAACAAAGAAAACGAAGCGCTCAGCTTGTGGCAAGGCTGGGGGGCGGATACCGACAAGAGTAGATGATGTTTGGGATGGACGTATTTGTGGGGCTTCATCTATCCCCACTGGTGCAGGATTCCACATCCACAATATGTCTGCCGTTTTAAATCCCAACTCATTGGCAAGGGCAGCGCGCAATTCTTGGGCAGCTAATTTGCAAGATTCTGAGCACAATCAACTTTTGTAGGAGGCAGCCATTGTGAAGGTGGTATCTGCGGCTTGGCAGTTGTTGGTCTGATCCTTGGGTGGAACCTAAAACGAGCTGGAAGGTGGGTCCCCCCAGTTCCATCTATCTCCCAGCAAACTCCACAGCTTACGTCTTCCCCGGCCTCTGTTGCATGCAACTGGCAAGCTGCCAGAAGGTCTCTGGGAATTGTCTGTCGAGCATTGACTGACTTTCGGGAATCCAGGACTACGTGCTGAGCCGATGGTAGACAAACAAGGAAGAACCCCATTTGACAGAGAACCCTTCACTCCTGACGCATGCCCCCAATTAATCCTTCAGGTCGATGAATCCAGCCTTGACATTGCCTGAAGGAGGGGGGGGTTGGTGTGGGGCCAGTCCCACCCAAAAAATCCCTCGGGCTCTCCCAATTCCATAAGGTTCAAAAAGGAACCAATCACAGTGCGACACTCCCATTACATCTGCCAACTAAGATGAAAGCATCCTGCCAAGTCATTCACAGGGCGAAAGACCTGTGGTTTGACCATGTGGGCAATGGCATTGGAAGTCGTGGGTGCTTTCCCTTGTATCCCCAAAAAAAAGAAAAGAAAAGAAGGAGCCATCGGACCAGAGAAGGCCTTCGAGCCATCGACGGATCCCGGGTTCCCCGGTTTCCCCCCTTTGTCAGGCCTCACGGATCCCCATCTTCGATTCTCAGGTGTCGGTTTTTATGGCCGAAAAGGCAAAAGCACAAAACACAAAAACACCGGATGCTTCGCATGACTTGCGTTTTTCCGCTGGCCGGCTGCATCGCGTAGGGTCTCAATCTACTTTCGAAGCTCGATGGTGAGGCCGTGACAAACGCCAGGGACCAAACCAAAAGGCCGGCAACCAGCGAATCCCAAGTACCACATACCTATGGCTTTGGCTTTGATTCAAGGGGATTCGTCAATTGCGGATTCCTCGAATCCGTAAAAAATATGAGGCACTGGGACCCCTCTGGGCCTGTGCTTTCCACCCGAGATCTCCGCTTCTCTCCGGCCGAGGCGCCATTGTAGTCCAGGTAAATCGGCAGCTCTGCAGGCCTCGGCTTCCCGATCGAAACTCCGACCCTGTGGGCCTTGGTGCTCTTCACAACCCGGATGGTACGGGCTCGCAAAAAAAAAAAAAAAAAAACAGAGTCCGCTTTTTGCATCCCCCGGACTTAAATACCAAAAGCACAAGAAACCAAACATCTTGCCAAGATTAGTGATCCCAACCCCAAGTAAGCTATGCTTTGACCATGGCACATATGTTGGGCCGGGGACATGAAAACTTTGCTGGCCTGAGAACTTTTGGAACATCTGCGAATATGCAGCACAAATGGCTCAGGAGTCCACACACATACTTAAAGGGGCGATCGATTCGGTGCCTCAGGTAAGTGGTAAGCCTGGTGAAATAACCCACAAAAGCCGTGGCTTTTGAGTCTCCTTTCAGTGGGTTATAACCTTGGTTGCTGGAAAGGCCCCTGCAAAAAGCTTGACTTTTTTTGGGGGGGGTTAGAGAGCAGTCAAGTAACCAGGTCTACTAATCACTTATTAAGTACAACTTCCATTTGGTTAAGACCCCTGGAAAAACTAAATATGTCCAGAAGTGATAGATTTCTTTTAAAACCAATATTTTTTCAGCAAATGGAAGACAATGCCCCTTTAAGGAGCGGCTTGCTCTGCTTCGAGCCCCGGGCGCCATCAGAGCTCGTCCGGAGCAGAGCCCCGTCAGTTCAGTTAAAAGATGTCTGCTACCCCCAGGGCGGTTTGGCGGCTTCGGGTGGGTGCCTGGGTGCTCCTTTTGGAAAAATTGGCCGTGTGTGCCTATTGCCGGTTTCTCCCCAAAAACATGACCCAACATTCGTAGGTCGCACGGATGCTACCCAGGTTTTGTCGGGGATGAACCAAGCCGCTGAACTCCAGGGGAGTTAAAAACCGGAAGACCGCCAAGTAGTGACCGACGCCCAGTGCTGCAAAACATGTACTTCCAACACCTGCACTTGGAAGCCCCCGTGTGCCTTGCTGAGAACATTTGTTGCGTAGGCCATGATCACGGCTGCATTAACCGGAAACCACAAAGGGTCCCAGCCAATCCCCAGTGTAGACAGCCATGCGCTTCGATGGCGCGCATGAGTTCGGTTCTAGAAAAGCTGCGCGGCATCGCGTGGCCATCCGTTCGACGCCGTGATCGAATCACTGCACCCCCAGGACTCGGAGCAATTGGGGGCAAATGAGTGCCACGGAACTCCCAAAAAGTTCGGCTGCAGAGTGAGAACACGCTGGTTCTGGTACAGGCTAATCCATCCCTGGCTTTCTCCAAATGCCAGGGTAGAACATTGGACACTGGCCTACTTCCATATCCTTACAGGAGCCACAATCAAAACCCGGGTAGATGAAGGTTAGTAAGGGACAATCCCAACCATAAATAGCTGCGGCCGCCTTCCTAATTCTTCGCATGGTTCTGGGTAGACCATTTTACTACCGGGTTTTGACTATGACTCACAGGACTTTGGGTAGCTCCTGAGCTGGCTCCAGAAAGTTGTGCATACATAATGTGCATGTACGTGAAGGTGACATGCGCTGGGCTGTGGCAGGAGGTAAGCACACGTAGCCACACGCACACACAGCTGTACACAAACGAATGCACGGCACACAATCACAGAAGCAATAAACGCATGACCATGCGTGAATTCGCGTTCCCCTTGCACGAGCACAATGGCTGCAATGGAAAAACAACTACATAAATAACACTGAATCAATTTGCAAAGCAACGCGAGAAATCAACCACCAACCAATCACAGAACTTCATTACACCAAGCAACCACGCAAACAAGCAACAACTTAAGCAAGAAAACAAGCAAGCAAGCCACTAGCAAGCAAACAAGGAAGGACGGACGGAAACAACCAGGCACACAAAGCAAGCCCGCAAGGCAACACACAACAGACCACACACACACACACACCGACTAAACAACAAAACACGCACACGCACAAAGCCCACTCGCAAACACAGAAATGCTGCCAGCTTTCTCTGCAGGCCGTGGGGCGGCAATCGCCCCTGCTTTGGGCCGAGTTTCTCTGCGCGTGGGGCTGGCAGCATAAAGAAAACGGCACTAATTTGGGTGAGTACTACTACTACCACCACCACCACTACTGCTGCTACTACTACTACTACTACTACTGGCCGTATTACTACTACTACCACCACCACCACTACTGCTGCTACTACTACTACTACTACTACTACTACTACTACTACTACTACAGCCGCAATGTCTTGAATGATTTTAGCAAAGCTTCCTGGTTGGCTCAAAATGGGGCCCCGCACCTAGTTCGTGACGCGTAGGCGACACCGCGCGATCCATCTCGTGTAGGTGTCTGAATCCATGAGCAACCTTCTCTAGCCTAATCCATTTTGCATAGCACATAGGGTCTTGCCAGCTGGTAAATGTGGCTTCGTGTCCATTGCCATTCGAGTGGTCAAAACACCTTCCAGGGACCATGGCCAGGAAGGATTTGAGCGATTCGGACTAATCCAGCGCTGTCACCTGCCAGGCCATCCCCAAAGCTCAGCGCGTGCATGCTCAGAGCTCCGGCCGCGAGCCCTGGCAAACAGGGCCCTTTGCGGTTGCATATACATTGGCCTAAATCTTTGGAAAAATGCACCAAAACAACAAGTTCTGTCTCTCATTTAGCTAACCTTCAAAAGAATGTTTTGAGGAGACCCTGGTTACATAGAGACCTCGACACAAAAGGAAGGAGAACACAAGCACACATCGGCGTAGAGCTCCGCAAGCCTCTTACATGGCCGTGTCGTAAAATAAGGTTTTCAATTGATTCAAGCCGTCAAAAGGAAAAAGAGAGAACAGACCCAAATGGCTCTTCCATCAAGCTGGTACCACGGCCTTCCAATCAATTGCCATAACCCAGCACCCAAGGTCAAAAGCATTTCTCACGCTTTTCCTTCTAACTACGCATCCCTGGCCCTTGCCAGGTGAGGAGGCGGATGCCGCAACTACCACCCGCACCCGTCAAATGGTACTCCAACATACAGCAACGAGTTTATTGACAGGCAGGACCTACCAAAACCAGCATGTCGGTGTTTTCTGATAACTGTACATGACAAACGCCTACCTGCAAACAACACCCCCGCTCTCCGCAAAAGCTAAGGAGCTCGCTGGATTTTCTAGCGCGCTAGGAACGCTGCGCGAGATGCAAGCAGCGCAGTGTGTTGCCATCGTGACATTTGGCGTTCGTCGTCAACCGCTAAAATGCAATGAACGAGTCTCTACTTCACGCTGGCAGTGATTTCCCAGTAGACCAGGTTAGACGAAAAACGGCCGAACCCCGAAATCATTGAATTAGATCGACCTCATAGTTTAAAACAAAATCCGTGTAGAACGACAACACTGTCGAAAACGTAGGCCCAAAATTAAACTAATAGTTTAAATAAATCTACCGAATCGACAGAAAACAATCTACCGAATCGACTGGTTGTCGAAACAGAATCGACATGTCGAAAGATGCGGTTTTGACTAAATAGAATAGACCGAATTCATAGAAATTGGTCTACGCAAAGTGTGGCAAAACTGCGGGCAAACTACGAGAAAAGTTCGGCTTTCTGCTTGTGATTTACCTTGGCTGGGTAAGTTCGCCTGGGCGCAACAATCTGCCCGGCACTCCATTTTTGCGAACTGGCTGGCCGATCGCCCAAAATGTTGCTTTTAAAGCCGCCCGCAAGCTGTAGGAAAACTTCAAGGAAAGTACGGGAAAATTGCGGGTTTGGCGTGTCTAAAACTGCGGCTTTCTATTCTGAGCCACCAGCAGTTTTCAAGAAGTTTCGAGGAAACTTCGGGTTTTTGGGGTTTGTCTAAAAACATGAATTAGACCGAACATTCTGCCTAATAGGCAGAATTCGTGTCGCCGAATTAGACTATTTCCACGCCCGAAAAACAAAAAATACAGAATAGACAGAACAAGTTCTAACTAATAGTCACAAGAGTTTCCCGTGGGCAAACATGAAATAGACCGAATCCGCAAATTTGTCGAATAGACAGTTTTCTGACTTATCTGGTCTATTGGGTTCACGTTCTCCAAAGCAAACAATGTGCTCGTTGATCGATATTCTGCCTCACCTCGTCATTCACGCTCTTGGCTCAGTCTCAACATAATAGCAACACTAGGCCAACAGAAACGCAAAGGCGTTTGGCAGGAGGCCAGATCAGCCTCACAGGTTGCAATGACGCCTTTCTCTGTGAGGAATTGTGGCTTGGTTGGGAGAGCGACCTCAATCAGTCGCATTATAGCGACTGAACAACACATGGCACCGCAGCGCACGAACAAACGATTCAACCACACTACCGCCCAAGCGAATAAACAACACATGACATAGCAGGACACCAAAGGCACAAGCATAGCTGTTCGTCAAGCAGATACATATTGCTTCAATTCTCGGAGCATCTGTCCTCGTGCTGTGGCCCAGCCCCCGCAAGCTGGCCGAAGACCACGGCGCAGCCAAGCTGGGAAACTGCAAGGCTGCCGCTTGGAGCACCATCCGCGGCGAGCTCTTGACCAGCTTCAAATTTCGCGCAGGTTGGCTGAATGATTAACCAGTCAACGACAGCGGTTGCGCGGTGTGAGCCCAAGCGCGCCGGCAGCAGCTTCGGCAGGATGACGCTGGCGGCTTCGCGGGGCGACCCGTCGCTCCTCCGCAGCCGCGCCTGGCACCGCTTCGATAACCAACTCGGCCGGTGGCTGAGAGTTCCTGGCCTCGTCTGCTGCTGATGGTCAGACAGGTAGTGCGAGCGTGACTGGGTCAAGCCCCTTTGCGACAGCCACAACCTTGTTGGCATATACGGTGCAGGGCTTCTGTCCGACCACCCCGCAAGACAGACGGCTGTTGCTGGTACGATTGGCAGCAACTCGGCTAGCACGGGATGTGAATTAAAACAATCGGTTCATCGGCGCAAGCCCTGGATGAACAAGCCCAGGAGAGTCGGAAAGCATCTCTTAGGCCGTGGGCAGCGCTAGAAAAGAGCGCTGGAAAAGAGCACCGGCCAAGGTTCGGCGATCGCTCTTCGCGGGGCTGAACAATCGCCGACCCCCCCCCAAAAAAAAAAAAAACGCTGCCAAAATTGAAGGTGTCCAAAGTGGCTGCCACAAGGGGGACTGCCAAAAAACACATCTTCGTGAGTCTCGCTTGCAACGTCTGCGTGCGGGCGCTTTCCTGCTTCGGACCTCACTTAAAACCCCATGAAGGTTTGCCAAGCGACAAGGCCCTGAAGACTCGTTTCTTCAGCAACCCCTGCCTGTCAGTCGACCAACTGAGGGCTGCCGTGTCACAAAGCGGGTTGTGCTGGGTTAAAATGTAAAATGTGAATCGGGGCCGGAAATGCCAATACAGCACTTGCTGAATCCGGCAGGGTGCTTCAGCTTCTTCAGCTCCGACGCCCAGAGCGGCGGCGCCCTTTTAGCGGAGCCGCGCAGCCTCTGACCGGTTGCCTTCAACGCTTAGAGGCGCTGTTGTGAGCGGTTCCGCAACTTCTTCACCGGCCAGCGCCGCCGCCACAGCCGGCGCTTCTTGATTCGCTTGGGGCACACCCAACGCCAACGTCACGCATAAACACAAACGAGTTGAGGGAAACTTGCAACAGCATGGGGCAATGTGGCCAGCGTCCGACCGCAACTTGCAGGATATCATTTCGGCATTGCCTATAGGAAACCCGGCGACGCCCCGACATCTTCCTCTAAAGTTTGGCGCAGCGCTTCTTTGGCCACGATGTCCCTGGCTCTCTCGCGAAAGCCAACCATTGCTCCCAGCTTATTTGTGCAAAATTTGTGAACATACGTGCTTCAGGAGCAAAAGGTTTTCAGCGCATGTCACATTGGCACTTGTGTGCGTGCAACGAAGCAGTAAAATATGCCAGATGGTATCACATCTGACTTGTTGAGTTGCGCGCAACAGGCGTGAAGTTGCCAGGGCGCCTTCGCAACCCTCACGCAACGGTCCGCTCTTGCGCGCTGCACCTCATGAAGCGAACGCGTCCAAAGCTCACCCCACATCTTCCAATCGGCCCCTCTGATCTGCAGCCCAAGCGCTCAGACGGGCTCAAGGACAAGCTCTGCCCGCCGAGCGGCACGCCGCAGTGGTGCTGCCGGCGCTGGACGGCACATGTGAGGTTGCAAGCTTTTTCTCGTTCGTTGGCCAAAACATGATTGACGATTCTGCCCCACTCACGCCCGCCGTGGGGCGCCAAGGCGCGGTGCAGCGAGCAAGGCCGAAGACTGTTTCGCAATCAAGACAGAGGACGCCTGTCGAACTAGAACAAACACTCAATATTAAAAGGTCATAGCATCTGCCGACATACCCTGTTGTGTCTGCATGTGACTGCAACTGTTGTGACTGCTACTCGAGATGTATAACACATTGCCTCGCGCAGGCAGACGTAAATTGTGACTTTTTCGGCGCAGTGCTCTGTTACTTCTGGGGATCCTTGTGACCGATAGGCGCATCACCGCAAACTGGGCCACCGAGTAGAACCTAGCATGCCGCACGATGAACGACGATGAACGCATCGTTGGTGACATTGAGCTGCTTAGAGGATTGAGCTTTCCAGACAGCAGAGGGCTGAAGACAAACTTCGTAAAAGTTTCCAGCGATACGGCTGATAACCCACTGACACGCAAGAACTAACTCAAACAGGCAAGGCGTGTCGGTACTTGCTGATATCTCTATACATGACAAATGCCTACCTACGAACACCAGAATCGAAATGAATTGACGGATTGCGGCCTCGCAAGTACAAGAAATCGAATGATTCGCCTGCCGCGGTTAGGTTACAAAGGGGAACACTGAAAGGATGCCAACTGCCCGGCCTTTCCTTTGGCTGGCTTCTTTCCTTTGGCTGGCTTCTTTGAGCCTGCCGAGGCATCCCCACACTTTCTTCGGATTCAAAAGGCCTGCTGGGTTGCATGTCAGTGGGCGGTTGCATGCCACTAACATGCACAAATAGCGCCGCAAATAGGATTCGCGGAGGGCTACCCCCAGGCTACCATCAACTCGTATGACTCCAACTTGAAACACACTCGAACACAAACATCGGGGGCTCAATAGGCTTGTGCATCACCACTGTTGACACACAAAAGGGCCTGCTCCTGGCGCCTTCACGCCTGCTTCTGGCGCCCGCTCCTGAATCCAAGGAACAAGCAAGCGTGCGACTTTCAAGCCCCCAACAACGGGCTAAGGCGGGGAGGTGAACGAAAGGTAGCCGCGCTCAGAGCTGAGTCAGCCGCATTTCCGTCGCACGCAGGGACGCAGGAATAGCCGGGGATGCTGGGGATGCAGCTGGCGGGAAGTCAGCTTGGCGCAGGACGTTTGTGGGGCAGAAGTGTTGAAGTTTTGGCGCCCCACAGAAACCGGCGCCACAGAAACCGGGAAGAGTACAGCAGGGGCGCTCAGCAGCATGAAAGGTCAGGAGATGCCGGGGTCATCCCGAAGAGCGGGAGGAAGAAAAGGACGATGCCCGGTGCACCAGATTCCGCGATGGAAAGGGTGCTTTTAAAGGGACAAGAAAAGGACGAGTGCCCAACTCACTCCAAAACAATATCAAAATCAACCATGCGAACACGCACTCCCTTAGAGCCGGGTCTAGCCAAGTCAGGCGAAGTTTGCTTACAACTATTGAAGTTGCGTTGGTCCAGCCACTACTCAGGAACCAACAACTACATCTAGCTGTATGATGATAGGTTTTGATCGTGCAAGCAAAGGCGCCCAAGTTGTACTTTTAGGAGCGGCTTTCCACTATGCCCAACCATTGTTCTTTTCAACACACCTTCAGATCTATCTGGTTTGTGCAGTTTTCACAAAGGGCAGACGAAAGTTTTTTTCCCGAGAAAAAATGGCATGAGGTTAGCCCTTGGATTGCTTTAGTTCGCCCAAAGGCTATTTATGCTCGAAACCTACAGCATGGCTGTCCACAAGCAACGCTGTGTTCCCAATGGTTGCGACCAATGCTGGTTTCACACATGCAACGGTGGAGCCTAGCGTGCTACACGCAAATGCCATATACTTTGAAAGGGACACATTGTCTAAAACCCCAACTCAACACGCGCGCGCGGCTGACAATTGAACACCTAGCTGGAAAATTAATGCAAACACGTGAGTGACCCATTGCTTGTATAGGATCGACTCTGGTAAACGCTAGGTCCTCCAGTAGAGAGGTTAGAACAAGGTACCTTTCTTCTGTAGTCTATTTTAATAGGGGAACCCGCCCCCCAAAAAAGGGTAACAGTGCACTAGTCGGGAACCTAGCTGTTAAATGGTTCGGAATTGTCCCTCCGAGCTTAACCTTCCGGATGCCACCGCCGGATGCCACGCGGCAAGCCCTTGTCCTTGCGCCGCGCGGCGCAGCGTGCGGTGTTGCGACAAGCCTGCGAGCACAGGCGCGTGACTGCGGCCGGAACTCAACTGAGAAACACAGGTCTCAGATTCCTCTGCACATGCTTGCAGCAAGTGCCTACCATGTCCTTACAGAACTCCTGGTCGCTCCTTTGTTTGGATATTTTCGGCCCCCTTCCAATCACCAGCTAGGTGACCTCACCACACGGGCAGATTCCTGGGTTGGAACCTGGCCGAAGGGCACCCAGGTTCCATGACCAACAGCTTGCGGATGCTCGTGCAGTGCATGTATGTATCTATATGTATATACGATGTATATACAAATATATTGACTTATGTGTATATAAATAAATAAATAAATAAATAAATAAATAAATAAATAAATAAAATTAATATATATATATATGTGCGTGTGTGTGTCTGTTGCGCCTGTCTCAAAAGAACGTTCCCGGCCCCGCAAGCGGTTGGCATGGGTCTGCTTCGGAGTGCTTCGCGGCAAGCTTGGTGTCATTGGGGTATATGACTTGGGGTGTCCGGATGGTGCGATAATGAGCTGAATGCACAGCAGTCGTGGTGGTGGGTGGTTCTTAAGCTCTTGCCTGCTTTCTTCCAGGAAACTCACAAAATCCCAATCCAGCGGGAAAAGCCTCAAATAATATAGCACCCTACCACAAGTCTCTGTTACTTCGTCGCCTTCCACCTCCCGCAAACAATTTTGCTTAACCTCTTGCCAGTTGAAAGGCGAAGCCACCAACCCAAGGAAGAAGAAACAGCGCAAACAAATGCAGGCAGCGATTGCGGGTTGGGTTCTTGCGGGCGTCCGGTTTCCCCTAAGAGTCCAACACAAGGATACCCACATTTCCAGTTTCCGATCACTTCGATCCTATTCGAAAACTTGCTGTTTCCCGGCTCGAACAATGCAAGCCTGGCTTCTGGGTTGTCTTTACAATCCTCGGTATGGGCTTGCAACAAATACTTTTTGCAGCCCCCTGCCCAAAAAATAATCAGCACCAATAAGCTCAGTCGATATTCCCAACAGCATGCGGTGCTCTTTTTAGCGCTTGCACCACCCCGCCCCCGCAGAACCCGGTGTGGAACCCTGGTGGAAATCTCGTGGAACCTTACCTCATGGCTGCCCCGGACCACCCCAGAGCCTATCTGGGCTAAGACTCCAAAGCTTTCAGCTGTTGAGGAAAAAGAAGAAGAGGAAAACACGCCGAAACAACCTGCAAACAGTGAGGATTAAGTCAACCTCGGGTGGACTTTCTCCCCACGCGACCTTTCCTGGAAGCCAAAGCCACCCCTCGCCTCGAGCGCCACTTGAGTGAGATTCGCCTCCGCAGGCGTCCCAGCCTAGCATCCGGAGTGATGCAAAAAATCTACTCCCGGATCTCCTCGCTTCCTGAGGGAATGGGCCAAACAAGTACCCCAACTTGTTATTTTCCACTACAAAGGTCTTCCCAAAAAGTGACAGTCCAGGAACCCAGGAAGTGAGCCTCTGGAAAATGAGAGTTCAAAGTTATCGGACAATTTGAAGTGGTCTTCGAGGTCCCCCAAACTTATCATAACTTGGTTGACGTTGGAAGGGGAGCAAAAATTGAAATTTTAGCAGTTAAGTGGTTGGATTCCAACCACAAAACCACAATAAGCAAAGATGTAATGTTTTTCCCAACAACAGCCATGTAACAGCCTGCCACTTGGAAAGGAGAGAGTAATTACTATGCGAAGCCGCATGAGTGCCTTCGGGCTGCCATTACTTCGGCATCGGCACGACTTGCCGAACATCGGCACATCGGCACACTTGCAGCATTGCGAAAGACACACGTCATGGGGCCTGGGGAGGGGAGGGGAAGCCCAATTTAGCTCTTATTGAGCTTGATACGGCCTTATTAGGGGCTTCTTTCGCCCCCCCAAAGCCCCACAAATATGACGATCAAGACCATCCTTCAGTTGCTTTCAGTCAAGCGCACACCACGCCGCAGCGCGCTTGCACCGTCCCACAGTTGCAACTTGCCCCCGCAAACAAATGTTCTAGAAAACGGTTTGGGTGGCGTTTGCGGATCCACCCCTGTCGGATACGAAAACAGTACCAAAATACACAAAAAGCGCATCCAAACCGTTTTCTGCCTTGGGGCTTTGGCATTGCTGCAGAACTCGGATCCATCAGGCGGCCAGGTGTTGGAAAACTACGTCCTTGGCAAGCGTCAGATTCAGAGCCACAGCATGGGGAGCCGTGGCAGCCGTAAGAATGTCGACCCCGAATCAACAAACCCCTGCTTGATTAATGGGGTGTCCTCTTTAGTGGGGGTTTATCACTTTTGGAGGGAGCACTATTTCAGTCACTGTTGAGGGCTTTTCAGGAGCCTTAAGAACCATGGCGGATACTGGTAGGCCTTCCCACCCGCTTTCACATACTATTCTTCGCGCTGCGTGGAAGAAGCTGCACGCTTTCCTATAGCCAAAGGCGAGTCCGCCCAACAGTACGGCGATGCTTTCACCAGGCCAGCCTTCTCATAGGGAGCATATCTTTGCAAAAAGAGCGCTGGATGATTTTCTGGGGGGGGGGGGTTGCTACTTTGGGAATCCATACCACTTTGCGGGGGAACTTCCCCGAACTTCCCCCCCCCCCCATGACTCCGCGTTTCTGAGGTTCCGCGCTAGGGTTTCGGCCAGGGCGTCGCTGTGGTGGGCAATGCTTTGCTCGCAGGCCTCCGTCGGGTTCGAAGTTCGAAGGGCCTTCCATCGGCCTTGCCTCAACGCGCCTTCCCGACATACCCAACTGGGGTGGGGTGAAGTGAATGGTGGGTGGGGTGGGGTGGGGTGGGGTGGGTGGGGTGTTTCTGCCTTGACATGCGCAACCAACAAGCAAACAAAACCAACCTTAGTGGGAAAGATCTCCGTTAGGGATCCCTTTCGCATCCCTTTGGAGATACATGCCAACCGCCAGGACAGGGCAACGGCGGAGCGCTGCTGCCGGAGGTGGCACTTGGAGGCCAGTACGACACTCGAAAATGAATCTCCGCTTGATTGTGCAAGTTGTTAGCTTTGCATTGATTGTCTTGTGTTTTAAAGAGCTGTGTTTGCTTGCTTCCTGGGGTGTGAGGGTGGCAGGCGCCCACTCCAATGCTTTCGCATGGGGGAGAGTTCGCACCACTTCCGTGTAATTGCTGGCTCGTGGGCAGCAGCCATTGCCAGATGTCCTGGGCTTTCCCGGTTTGTCCTTGGTCTTGGTTGACGTTGGAAGGGGAGCAAAAAAATAGATTTTAGCTAAGTGGGGATTCCCCACTAATTAAACCACAACAAGCAAAGATGTAAAATGTTTCACAACAACAACCATATGGTCGCCTCTGGCGAAACTGAAGCCCGTCGAACTGGTCAGTCAGGAAATGGGCAACAAGCTGTCGCCTGAGCACCACGAAAAGGCTAAAGGCGAGCACTGCTCAGCTGGCGGTTTGTGGCGCTGTAGTTACTTTCCAACCCTTGGACTTGAAAAAAACAATTTTTTTGCAGCCCCCACTAAACATGAACTGAACCCAAAAAAACTAAAAGCAACTGGAAACATGCCGACCGGGAAGGTTACTGCTCTGCACGCCATACTTCAGGGAGCAAGTGGACCGTAAAGCGAGGCTTCACGCCTGGGCGTCCAAACCCCTGGACCAAAACTCCTGGAGAAAGCAGCCGGTTTGCTCTCACTAGGTCCTCCAGTAGAGATTTGTTTAGCATAAGGGTACCATTTTTTTCTTTTTGTCTATTTTAGTAGGGGAACCCTCCCCCAAAGAGCACTACTGAAAAACCTAGCTAATGTTTCAAAAGGCCCCTCGGATTGCAGCGCCGCTTCCGACTTGGTAAACGTTCAACCGTAGACCTAGGGTTAGCATCTTTTCCACCTCTACCAGTCACTATGTTTTTTGGGTCAACATTGCAACATGGTACCAAACGCTGGCCCCAGCAGCCCAAAGCAACGATCTGGAGGGCAACTGCCGACCCCCCGCCCCATGTCTTGCAGGCCGAAGCACATAGAAAACGCCCTCTTTCCACACCTGCAATTGCCATGAAAAGGAGGCAGCGCCGTCGCAAATCAAACATGCCAACTTGGGACACGACGGACAAGATTAATACTGATTCCAGATTGATAGACCGGCTCTATTCATAGGGGTGGTCCCTACAAAAGTGGTGAATCCCTACTAAAAGGGGACACCTAGTCAACCATGGGTTTATTGATTAATCTAAGGGCATAAAGGGACCCCCCCCCCCAAAAAAAAAAAAAAAAGTAATGCTGTGGACACCAGGAAATTTGCAGCGACTGACCAACGTCAAAGCCCTCGAAACCCACTCCGCATGCTACGAAAACTGCAAAGCTTCACAAGAAGCACCCGGCACGTGCACCTTTGGGGGAACAATCGGCCCAAGGAACGCACTCGACTGATTTGAAAGACATCTGATGCAGCAAACAGCCCCAGCCGAAACGAGCCAATGTCACCAGCGCCCGGCTCATGGAGGGCCCCTGAGCCAGTCTTAAACCCAAGCTTCTCGGATAAATCTCTTAAACTGGCCCTAGAAAATATGTCAAGCACTTTAGAGCAACACTTCCGTTCTCCAGCCGCGTCAAAAGTTGGGCACAAAAAATACATAAATATGCAAGGCTTACACTCTTTCCATAGATGGGCCAGAGAAAGTCCATTTGATGGGTTTACCACTAAAACAGTCCAAGCCCAACAAGTGAGTAAAGTCCAGAAACGCACGAAGTGAGTACATTTCCCCGCAAAACTGAGCTACAACCTGGGCGCCGACTGGGTCTTCGCTCGCTTTTCCCGGATCGGTGGAATCAACCGCCAACACCGCCACCGCCAGGAAACCACAGCTTCGACCCCACCTCCAAAACCGACGCCCCCCCCAGCACCAGTTTCACCACCTCCAAAACCCAAAGCCCCCCCACCTCCAAAACCGACCCCCCCCCCCCAGCTTCACCTCCAAAACCCACAGGCCTCGTATGTGTCGGCAGACTGGCGGCTGGGCTTCTCGGGGTTGCGCCACAGGCCTCGGAAATCGGCTCGCGGCGCGCCGCGGCAGGCGGCTACGCATCGCCGCCCTCGAGCCTGGGCTGTCCGTTTTCAGATCCCCCGCGAAAAGTTGTTTAGCTTTTCGTGGCACACATGGGGAAAAACCCGCTGAAGACACTAGAACAAGTTTAGCTGTGTAACTTCTGGGAAAAAAACGCTGAAACACTGAAAAGAGCTAAACAGATCTTTGGAACCGGATGGCTGGGAGCCAGCAGGTAAACAAATACTTCCCACGTGGGCCATGTTCTCTATGGTCACCTGGCAAGTAATAAGTGCAGAGGCCCCCATGGTGTGAGACATCTGGATCAGGCGAGACTTGGGATGGCTGGGAGCCACCGAGAAAAGGCTCCCCGCGCCCTCCCAGCCTTGACCCATCCGCAAGAACTCCGCCAGCCCAAGCGAGCGCCAAATCCCGAAAGGCAGCGGGGGCTGTCCCTTTCGAGCCCCAAACTTGTCGTTTGACCGTCATTTCATCTTTTGCTTTGCAGGCACACACACAGACTGGTCACAATGGTGAGCCCCCCTGTGGCCAAGCAATGTTGACCCAGGATTTCATACACCCGTCCCATGATTGGTTGGAGGGGTATTCTCTCCAAAAGTGGTCCGAATCCCCACGAAAAGGAATTGGACACCCCCCGATCAAAATCAACCAGAATTGTCTACTTAGATCCGGGGTTGACATTAAGCACACCGCAAAAAATGTTCAAATCTTTCGCTTGCAGGCTGGACAGAATGGTGAGCCCCCAGTGTGACCAAGTAAGAAAACTGCGGTTAAACCACACGTCCTCCCTTTGCTTTCCCCAGGTGCATGGAGAGGTGTCATTCTTCACCTCCGGCGCCACCTGTGATGCACACCGGGGCAACCAAATACGAGTCAAAGCTGCAGCACTCCCGGAGCCTGAGCAAGCATATGCAAATCCAGGGTTGATTCCATTTGATTCCTCTTCCATTCTTTTCACTCACCGTTCTTTTCAAAAATATGCTGTTTTCCCTGGGTTTCTGGAGGCTTTCTGGAAAGAAGGATCCTGGAAAGAATGGGGAAGGTACCGAACAAATGGTCGTTTCCCACACGTCCGCCTCTTTGCACATCCGCACCATGTACCCTTCGAGCACCACCTCGTCCTAAGGTCCGGGCCCCGAAGCGAAAACATGACCGGCTCAAGGCGGGAGGCCGTCGCTTCGAAACACGTCTCCGGCTTTGGTCAATGTTGGTCTTACCCCCATTTTTGTTTTTTTTTGGAGTGGTCTCTTGGGGTCCCGGAGAGGTGTGCGTGTGTTTCTGTGTGTGATCGCTTGCTATATGTTGCTTGTTTTGCTTGCTTGCTTTGCTTTGCTTTGCTTTGCTTTGCTTTGCTTTGCTTGCTTGTTTGTTTGTGTGTGTGTGTGTTTGTTTGCTTTGTTTGTTTTGTTTGTTTGTTTGGTTTGGTTGGGTTTGGTTTGGCTTGGTTTGGTTTGGCTTGGTTTGGTTTGGTTTGGCTTGGTTTGGTGTGGTTTGATTGTTTGGTTGTTTGCGTGTGTGTGTGTGTGTAAAGTGTCTAGTGTGCGTGTGTGCGTGTGTGCGTGTGTGCGTGTGTGCGTGTGTGTGCGTGTGTGCGTGTGTGCGTGTGTGCGTGTGTGCGTGTGTGCGTGTGTGCGCGTGTGTGCGTGTGTGCGTGTGTGCGTGTGTGCGTGTGTGCGTGTGTGCGTGTGTGCGTGTGTGCGTGTGTGCGTGTGTGCGTGTGTGCGTGTGTGCGTGTGTGCGTGTGTGCGTGTGTGCGTGTGTGCGTGTGTGCGTGTGTGCGTGTGTGCGTGTGTGCGTGTGTGCGTGTGTGCGTGTGTGCGTGTGTGCGTGTGTGCGTGTGTGCGTGTGTGCGTGTGTGCGTGTGTGCGTGTGTGCGTGTGTGCGTGTGTGCGTGTGTGCGTGTGTGCGTGTGTGCGTGTGTGCGTGTGTGTGCGTGTGTGCGCGTGTGCGCGTGTGTGCGTGTGTGCGTGTGTGCGTGTGCGTGTGCGTGTGCGCGTGTGTGCGTGTGCGCGTGTGCGCGTGTGCGTGTGTGCGTGTGCGTGTGCGTGTGCGTGTGCGTGTGCGTGTGCGTGTGCGTGTGCGCGTGTGCGCGTGTGCGCGTGTGCGCGTGCGCGTGCGCGTGTGTGTGTGTGTGTGTGTGTGTGTGTGTGTGTGTGTGTGTGTGTGTGTGTGTGTGTGTGTGTGTGTGTGTGTGTGTGTGTGTGTGTGTGTGTGTGTGTGTGTGTGTGTGTGTGTGTGCGTGTGCGCGTGCAGGTGCGGTGCGTGTGCGCGTGCGTGCGCGTGCGCGTGCGCGTGCGCGTGCGCGTGCGCGTGGGCGCGTGCGCGTGCGCGTGCGCGTGCACGCGTGCGCGTGCGCGTGCACGTGCGCGTGCGCGTGCGGGTGCGGGTGCGTGTGCGTGTGGGTGTGTGTGTGTGTATGTGTGTGTGTCACTGTGTGTGTGTGTGCATCTGGAACCTACATGTAGCAAACCTTCACCTGGCCTGACAATGTATACACGTGTATATTAGAGCCTCTGTGAATATTCATTGTGTCCCCCCAACTCACGTGGACATTTCGCGAGTCACTTCCTTATCGTTTGGTGATTGTGCTCAATGTCATCCCCTTTTCGAACGTTGGTGACAGACAATGCACGCTGATGCCCATAGTGCCATAATGTTTGTTTGCGAATTCCTTAGCAAACACGCCAACAACAAGAACATACACTTCCAGCACCCCCCAATGGCTGGCCAATTGCCGGCACATCGATTTGGGGCAAAACGATGTCACTTTATGTCTAAGTGACTGCAAAAACATTTTGCTATCAATTATCACTCATCTGTACTTAGTGCAATTTGTGCAATGATACAAGTGACCTTTCAGGGTCCTTTGGAATGGGGTTGCAGGGGAAAGGGGAGAGCAGCAAATTTGATGTTTGGAGGGCAAGTTTGAGGTTGGGAGGGGTTCTTGAGGAGCGTGTCACGGCGTGTCACGGCGTGTCGGGGGGTGGCCAATTGCCGGCACATGTACGTTGAACGGTCACTTTTTTGGGATATGAGCGTGTCACCAGCGTGTCGCCCCCCCTCCCCCTCCGTGCGTTGCACGTGCAATGATCATACATGCCAGCCCAAGCCCTCAATTGGATCCCCTCTAGTATCCGGAAGTGACGTTTCAACAAAAGTGACTTTTCACTGCACTTTGATGATGGCAAAAAAATCCACGTGACTACAAAACCATTTTTAAGCAAGTGCTGGTCAATTGCCGTCACTTCACCCGGGACGCCAATTACCGGCCATTGGGGGGGCCTGGTTGATATTGTCCATTATCATACGGTCGCTTGTTCATTCAGTTTACCCCTTGGCAAAGTACAATCAACAAACACTTGGCATTGCCCAGTATCATAGACATGCCAGCCTATTCCTTGGCAAAACAAACACCAGCATAGACTCGATACATGCAAACACAGCTTCATGACCACGCGGGCTTCGGCGCTTCAGATCTCCTTGAAGTGCTTGTTGCAGCCCTTCTTATGCTTCAGCATCTGGTCCTGGAGTGCCCAAACGGGGGTGGAGCCCCGACTGCAACGTCCAGAACTTGCGGCGAGTCACTGAGTGGACTTGTCACATGGATTTGCTAAGAACATGGTTCATGCTTGCAAAATCGGGAAGAAGCCCGTGCGGAAAATTGGAGTGTGCTGGGGCTTCAGGCCAACATAGGCCAGGTAACCCTCACTCTATCTTTTTCCTCTCGCTCTCTCCCTCTCTCTTTGGATTCCAGCCCTCGTTAAGCAGGAACCCAGGTTTTGAGGAATCTCCGTTCGGGGGATCTTTTTTCAGATTCACCACAGGCAAGCGCCTTGAGAGCCTCTTGAACGCGTTGCTGTGTGTGTCAATTGGATGGAATTCCTGCAAAGCAAAAACGCAAAAAGGCTCTTGCGCGATGAATGCCTCAAAGGATATCGTGGAGGCTGCGGCTGTTGACATGCCAAACATCTCCCATGGCTCCCTCGTCCTCGACTTGATCCCCCGTCTTTTCGTACTCCACGTTGCCCTCCAACACGTCTGCGATGTCATCCTGCGCAGCGGAACCACCCCGCCAGCCGACGTGACATGGCGCCACTTCTGCGCTTGCTCGACAGACAGCAGAAAGTCTTTACGCAGGATCTCAGGACTGCATGCTTCCAGTGGCTTCTGTTTTTGTGCGCCACTGGGCTACCACCGCGAAGACTTGCCCTGGTATGGCGCTGCCCGACTAGTGGCTGGCAATCCGCGAAAAGCTTCGAACACATGGCAACCCGGGTGAACTATCAGACTTCACCGCCCTCAAATACTGGACTCCCAAGAAAAGTCCCTTCTTGAAACAGGTCGCGCATTCCCTTGAGGTGGCCAGACTCGACCCACAACTACTTCCATTTGCTTAAGCCCCCTGTTTTTTGTTTTTTTTAATCCAATAGTGCTAGATTCCCTTTAAAACCAACAAGGGAAAATAACACACATATTCCTTTCAGCAAATGGAAGACTAGTAAGCTCAAACTAAAGCCCCCGAAGCCACTGAGCGAGCGCGTCCTCGCTAAAGGACCGCGCCCGGCCCAAGAGGGACTCCAGGATCCTGGCCTCAAGACGTCGACTGGTCCAATCACTGACGCCCCCTTTCCAACTACAAACGTGGAATTGGACAAACGAACAAGCGGGGATACGGAGGGAGCGGGGATACACCTTCATTGCTTCAGCCTTTTGGCAAAAAAGAACAAGAACATAATTCCAGTAGTGACAGACTTCCCTTTAAAAACCAACAGGGAAACACTGAGCAAAACAAAAGACTACCGAAGTAAATGGAATTGGACAAACGAACAAGCGGGGATACGGAGGGAGCGGGGGGGTCTGGGGGATTCCCTTGGCGCGATTTCCCATATCAAACATAGTCAAGGTGCATTTAGGGGGAATCCTCCCGTATTCCTGGTTCCCCCTGTATCCCTGCCAGTTGGTTTCCCTGATGGAAGTGCAGAGACTCCCGAAAACTTGCTTGTGCTCAGTAGGGAATGTGGGAATGAAGTCAGGGGTGAACGCGAACCACAAGGGATGGTTTATAGGGCATTCCCTCAACCCCCCTATCTAAGATTTCCATACTGAGGGGAAAAAACAGGAGCCAATACCACCTGCTAGGCATCCTGCAGCCGCGGTGAAGGGATGGTTGTATCCTCTCTGTGGCAACTTCTTGGGCTGTGTAAAAGGCCGCAGTACAGCTACAAATGTCATCCCCCAAACGAATCAACCAATCTGCAAATTCCCCATAAGTTGAAAACCTAAAAAATAAGCACTGGATCCCCTGGTAAAGCTCCTGCATCAGCAATCCTAATTTTTCGCAGTGGGGCCTAGGGGTGAATGAACCCCTGTTTGATGCTTGATCTACTTGCAATCCGGGCCAACTTGTGTATGTGTCAAGCCAAATGCTGGGTTTCCTTTTCGCGCCCCCTTTTACACACGGTGACAATGCCACCCTTCAACAAGCCAAACCAAACCAAACCAAGCCAAAATGAAACAAACCAAATGAAACCAAACCAACAACAAAACAAAAACAGGCAAGCAAACAAGCAAATTAACAACCAAAACAAACAAACAAACAAACAAAGGAAAACAACACAGAAAACAAAAAGCGAAAACACATATACAAACCAAACCAAACCAAACCAACAAAAAACAAAGACACACACACACAAACACACAAATGCACAAACACACAAACAAACGCACAAACAAACAAACAAACAAACAAACAAACAAACACGCACTTCCGGCCCACATCCACCTGCTGTTCTTGTGCAAAGTTTTTCTGGGGCGCCCAGCGCAAACGTCGCAGCGCACCTGATGCGATTGGGAGTGGGCAAGCGTGTGGCCCGACCACACCTGCACTTTCCAAATCCCCCCTACCTTCGGGGGGAGGGGGTAGGGACCCAGTCCCCCGATTCCATTTATCTAGTCTTCCCCTGAAAGGGAAAATGGAACTACAAATGGAATTCCAGGGGTCACCCCCCTCCCCCAATTCCATTCTTAAGGGGGCGGGGATCTTTCCAACCCTTGCTATGTATGGACTTGCCAAACACGGACGGTTTTTTGCAGCTCCCGAAGCATGATCAGAACTTCAAAAGAACCTAAAACAACTGAGCAAAACGGTCCAACAACGAAGTGGAAAGCAGCACGCTTCCAACATCTTTGGCTTGACTTGTGGTGAACTGGGTCATCGCCCCAAGCTCTGGACGAAAGAAGAAGAAGAAGTGCCCAACAAAGTACCAACTGCAATCCGGGCTGGGCTCCAACTCAAGCGGCCTAGCAACATGGGCCGAAGAGAAGCTTGATGATTAATTCTTGCACCGATCTTGCACACGATGCTCCCAATACACAGGGGGATCACCTCAAACAAAAACTGGATCCTAGTGGGCCGAACGCATTATTGCCAAGAAGGTAGTCCCAAACATAAGGACCACTCTGATTCACCTGAGAAAGTGCTGTGGCAGCCTTGGGTCAGGCACGTGGAACATGGGCAACAACTCAGGACTATAGGACGACCACCATCCCCTGGTTCCTTAGCTTCCTCTGTAAAGGCAACTTTGGATACCCCCAGCTTCCTTCGCCCTGCTCCCTTCCAACCGCAAGCTAGACAAAGCTAAGCCCCAGTGTCCCACGACAGCCACTGGGATGTATCCGTCCGTGGCCATGCGGAATTACAGGTTGGCCAAACAAAGTCCAAACTTGTTTGCCACAACGGTCTTCCCAAACAATTCCGTGTATAAAGGGTGCGTTGGTTTGTGATTATTTTCGTCCTTTATTGTCGGGGAACCCCCAAAAAATCCGGTTTTCCGTTGGCTCCCCCTGTAAAACCACAAAAAGAGGGGTCCGCCCCAAAACAGACACCAACCAAGGGGTCGCCTCAAAAAAGGACACACAGGGCCCCTCCGCCAGAAGAAAGACACCCGGCGCCCAGTGAGGACATCCCTCCTCTCATCCAAGCCTCATCGGCCAGCTGCTGGGCATGTTCGAAGTCTTCCTCCGTGGGCTTCTTGTGAAACAAGTGCTTGTACCGGAAGTACCTCTCTGCTAGGCTGGAATTAGGACCCCAGCAAAAATATATCTTTTTTGCCTGGTTAGTGGAACACAAAGGGGACCCCAAAAAAGCAAAAAAGCAAAAAGGGGAGCTAATTCTGGGGGAGTCTGCCCGATGTCCAGAGGAAAAGAATCGGCATCCGATTCTGTTGGTTGGCTGACTTTAAAGGAATCGGAACCCTTTAAACAAAAAGGAAAAAGGGAACCACTGGGCAACTGGGACGTCCACCCGATATTAATCTGACCTTGTACCGGATTTACCTCCGGCATTTTTGCCGCATACTAGGGTTCCCATGCCGCCAGAGGAAACCTATTTCGAGCTGATAGAAAAGGTATGGCTTAAACCAGCCCGCTTGTGCCGGAAGTATCCGATGGTATCAGCCCACTTCCAATTGGTGGTGTGGAGCCGAATCAGTGGTTTGGTGGAGGGGCTTCCCCATCTATCTACGAAATAACTAGGAAATGGCTATCCCCGAACCACGAATCCAAACCACGCATCAAGGGTAACCTGATGGTAGGTTTCCTATGCTGCCGTTAAGCATTACACCACCAAGAGGGAAACCTATAACATCTTTATCTGACCTTGTAGCGGAAGTACCTCTGTTCCCTTCCCTAGTCTCCACAAAAAAAAAAAAAAAAAAAACATATGGGCGCATCTGCTCGACGAGGGTCCCTTTTTTTTGCGCTTGGGTCTTGAAAGGCCCGTTTGCTAGGTCCCTCCACGCCCTTCACCCGCTGTACACACCCGCTGAACAGGGGGGCAAGAGAGCTGCGACCGCCCAAGTTCGACACAAACCGGGCAGGAAAGAAAATCACAGCCCCACGCCAGGGCCACCAGGTACAAGTGGATCGAGGTGGCTGAAGTCATGGAAACCGGGTGCATGGTGCCATCTCTTGGTTGACCTTGGAAGGGGAGCGATTAGCAGCTAAGTGAGATTTCAACCACTAAACAGCAACTAGCAAACATGTAGAATGTTTCCCAACAAAAACCATGATCTATTCAACAAACGGTAGATTCTCACAAAGTACCCTCCCCGTCCACGAGAACGGAACCCAAAGAGTGATGTCGCTAACAGTTTGCCCAACAGATTGCATCCGGCCAAATGACATGATTCACACACCGGGAATGAAGAAAACCCCTAGCAAGAAAGCTTCAGCCTGGGTGAAATCGCACGCTTTGCCCCCAGGGCCCATTGTACTTCGTCCAGAACATATTGGCCTTGCTTCAGCATGCTCCTGAAGCAAGGCCCAACCCCGATGCATACACAAATTGAGATATTCGGATTCTGTTTCACGTTGAGCCTACCAAAAAAGAAAAAAAAAAGACTAGGTCCTCTTGTAGAGAGGTTAGAATCAGGGTACCAACTTTCTTCTGTAGTTTATTTTAGCAGGGGAACAAACAGTCAGCCCCGAGTGGCTGGAAAGATTGGTCGCCCTGTTTCTTGATTTTTGAAGGGAACCCAATTACAAGCCTAGGTATGGGCTTGCAAAAACAGGGATCCTTACACTATACACCTGAACATTGCTTTGTAAATGGTGGTTTCCCTTTATTTTGGTGGAAAAAGCCATGTTTCATTGGGCAAAATGTACCTTTTAAGAAGCCCTGAAGCAAGGCCCCACTGAAACAGGAACAGCACCTTGCATTTGCTTCCTCTGGAATAAGTGAGGACATGTTTGCCCTCGGTAAAACCAACAGGGGGAAATTCAACAACTCCTCAAGCAACCGGAGGGAACCTAGCAACCTCAACAATATGCCAACAACAGTGAGGTAACCCCGCAACATACCCTTAAGCAAATGGAAGCAACCAAACAACCTAACAGCCCGAACAATGTGCCAGTAACAATGAAGTTACCCCCCCAATGAGAAAGAAGGAAGCCACCTGAACCATGATCAAAACCCGGTATTAAAATGGTCGACCCAGAACCATGTAACGAACTAAGAAGGCGGATATCCGCGGCTATTTATGGCAAGGGGATTGTCCATTACTAACCGGATCATCTAGCCGGGTTTTGATTGTGACACACCAAAGATACTGCGGATGGACGAAAACCTGCACCTGTGAAACCATGGAAAACCATTGTTTGCTGGTATTTACAGGGGAATCACCGTTCCAGGGTTTCTGAACGGTGTGGCTCACCTCGACCTTCGGCTTCCCTCTCAAACCCCCTATCTCGACCCCGAAGCTGCGTGTCGACGGCGCGTGAGGGCACTCTCCGCTCTGCCCTGCCGCATAGCCTCGGCTGCGTTGAAAGCAAGGTTAAGCGCCTCACTTGGCCAGTGACCAGACAAAAAACTGTTCCCTAAAGGACCCATGGAAGTAAAAGGTTACAGTAGGCGCCTCACTTGGTGTCCCTAAAATCGTGTCTTTAGGCTTTAATAAAGAAAAAACAACAGCGTTCTGGGGACACCACACGGTTTGGGTTACTAAACCGAAGGGGAAGTTCCCCCACCAAGAAAGCTCTCTTGGCGATTTTAGGTTGGGGCTTCCATGGGGCTTGCATGGGGCAACTTGCAAGCCGCCCACTTGCGAACGCGTCTCTTGCTTTGACGCGGCAAGAACGGCAACACGCCTAGATACATGCAGGGAAGAACTGCTGCCTCCGTCCGGTGGGGGGGGGAAAATTGACCTCTTGGAGTTCATCATGAGTTCAACCCGACAAAGCTTTGTCTCAAACATGGGGCTTCTCGAAATTGGCGCCGGTTTCCGTTTGTTCTCCTCTTTAAACCACCCCGAACAGACCCAAAACCTCAACAAGCCCGGAACCCTCAAACCCTCAAACCCTCCGGAACCCGCCCTGAAGGCCCGCCCCCCCGGAACCCGCGCGCGCGCGCGTTTTCCCGCCTTTGTTCTCGGTGAGCTCCAGCTTGTGGTTCTTCGCCGCTGCCAGCAGCCAAAGCCCCGCCAGCGCCCTGGCGGGCGCCAGGACGCCGCCGTGCCGCGAGCGAGCGAGCGGAATGAGCACGAGGGTGACATGAGCAACCGACAACTAGCTCCTCCAGTAGAGAGCTTAGAATAAGTTGGCGCCAACTTTTTTCCTGTAGTCTACTTTAGTAGGGGAACCCTCCCCCAAAAAAGGGTAAACGGGCACTACTGGGGGACCTAGCTAAGGTTCTGCAACGGACATATCGTGGATGGACGAAATCCATTTCGCACCGCCTAAGAAACCCTGGCATAATGATTCCACTGAAGATAACAACAAACAATGATGTCCAAAGTGGTGCAGGATTTCGTCCATCCACACTAGCAAAACTGACCCTGTCCCTCCAGTTTGTGTCTCGTCCGGCGAATAAGGCGAGTGACTCATACTCCTTCTCTGGTTGGAACCCCGGCCAATGGAACCAAATCGGTTCAGAAACCATCCGAGTCGAATAGGAGTCCTTGTTGTCCCTGAACCCACAAAGCTACACACCGTGCATTGCTTTGGGGGTGCTAATGCTGACCCCCGACTCGGAACCGAACCTCAGGAGGCAATTCGACTCCCACGCAGCTCTCTCTACTCTCACGCCTGGAAGCTGCCGTTTTTGAACCGTTTCTCACTTCACTAAAGTTAGTTGAAGCCAACTAAAATTAGTTTTCTCACTAAGGTTTGAACCGGTTTTGAGCCAACAAAAATCCAAGCCTGTTGCCACGACTTAAAGGGGCGACCGATTCGGGACCTCAGGCAAGTGGCTAGGAAGCCTGGTGAAATAGCCCACTGGACGGAGACTTATAGCCATGGCTTACGTAGGCATACTAACCCTGATGTAGGTCCTCCAGTAAGGATGTTAGAATAAGGGTACCCTTTTTTCTGTGGTCCATTTTAGTAGGGGAACCCTCCCCAAAAAAGAAACGGTAAAAGGGCACTACTGGGGGACCTAGAACCACTTACCTGACGCGCAATGCCCCTTTAAGTATAACATGGACTGCCCTCAGATCCCCTGCTAAAAGCTTAACCTTTAGTGGGTTGCATGGAAACCACCACCAAACACTAAAAGGCGAAAAAGCTAAGGAACCGGATGGCTGGACCAAGTAACGTGGACTCAGGGAGCGAGGATTCAGCCGTGCGCGGAGGCAAAGCCGATGGATCCCTGCCTCCACGGCCAGGACATACCCTTCACACGGCCGGCGCGGATGTCAAACGGGCCGAGCGAAATCCCTGTGTGGGCGCCAGGGGCACCGAAAAGGGGGACAAGTCCTTGCTTCCGATCAAGCGGTTTTTTTTTCCAGAGAAAATCACCAACCTTTATTTTGTGTTTACCACCAAAATTTGGTCTGCCTGACACGTTGTTTAAAAGTCCAGGAGCTCGGGAGCGAGATTTGGTCTGCCGGTTTTGCACCCCCGCAAAAGGAATCTATGTAATCTTTGTTGCGGAGTCTCTCTATTTGGTGCAAAATGGAACATCCATCCGTTCTTGAAGACAGTCGGGGTGCAGCTCCTAAGGACAGGGCAAGGACTAGAAGGACTAGAAGGGCTTTGGCTCTGCACATGCCATCTGGCAAAAACATCCTTGAGCCCTCGCGCATGAAGCAGCTGGAACAACTCACCTCAAATGCACGCAAGCAAGGCCTGTTTGATGCATGCAAGAGGCCTGAAGAGAAGCAAGGCCTTGATCGAATGTTGCCTTCTAGAAAGAAGTCGTCGCATTCTGGGGGTTGGTCAATATTCCGTCGGCCCCCGAATGACCATGGGCAACTTTCCCATGTGTTAGTGGTTTTCCCCAATGGTCACCATGTAAAGGGCGTTCAAGGCAAGTGAGTGCGCGGCAAAAGACTTCAAGACTTCAAGACCAGAGTTGAACACCCAGTCCGGCCCAGTCCTGGTCAAAATTCCCAAACTGGCTCCAACAGCAGTGCCGTCTGAGGGTCATGGTCAGCTGGACAAGGAATCTGCCGGGGATGTACCCGTGTGACATGACCCCGTGGAACCACTAGGGTGGAATCAGGCCCTCAGCACTTCGATGCCCACGCTCAAACGACTCCCCGCGGACGAACTCGGCTTTTCCCGCGCCGATTTGCTCGGCCGCCTCCCCATACTTCCCATTCGCCGCATCGCGGTGCGGGATGTCCAAAGTGGACGATGCCAGGGCTGAAGCGGGGGACGAGTGACATGTTGGACGTTCGATTTCATGGGGGGCTGAGGGAGAGGGAGGGAGGGAGGGAGGGAGGGAGGGAGGGGAGGGAGGGAGGGAGGGAGGGAGGGGAGGGGGGGGAGGGGAGGGGAGGGGAGGGGAGGGGAGGGGAGGGGAGGGGAGGGGAGGGGGAGGGGAGGGGGAGGGGGGAGGGGGAGGGGGGGAGGGGGAGGGGGGGGGAGGGGGAGGGGAGAGGGGGAGGGGGAGGGGGAGGGGGAGGGGGAGGGGGAGGGGGAGGGGGAGGGGAGGGGGAGGGGGAGGGGAGGGGGGGGGGAGGGGGAGGGGAGGGGGAGGGGGAGGGGGAGGGGAGGGAAGGGGAGGGAGGGGGGGGGGGGAGGGAGCACAAACAACCTTACATCCCATGAAGATGTGTTTCTCTACAACTTTAACGAACATTAAATCCCCAAAAAAGGAGTCGTCCTCCAACAAACGTTTCTGTAAACGGCTGTCGAGTGTTGACCTGCAGGAGTGTATCGACGTTCTCCCAGAAGGTGAGGAACGCCTATTCATCAACCAAGGGTTGACTCACATCCTGGGCGCCATTACGGGTAGCTGGCAGGCACAGTCAAGCAGTGGCTTGCAGTCGCAGAAAAAAAGTTCACCTTTTGGAACCTTGACTGACAAACTGACACAGGAGGCACAACTCCAAGAGTCGCGAAGTCTCGCGCGCTAATTATCTTTCCAGGGGTTGATTCCTCTTCCATTCTTTTCAGCCATCCTTCTTTTCAAGAACCGGATCCGTTTTCCCTGGGTTTGTGGAGGTTTTCTAAACATCGCCCGAACTCTTCCCATCCGCATCGGCCGCATCCGGTCTCAAAAGTCCACCTCTGGACGAAACTTGGAAGATCAAGTGGCTCAACACCTTGGAAAACAAATCAAAAGGGAACCTAGCCTCCCACCAATTAAGATGGAACCTGACAAAGGATCCTTTCAAATGGGAAAATTGTCTTCCAAGACCTCGCTGTCAGGTTCCATGTTTCTGGGTGGGAGGGCATACAAAAACTTACGGAGAACGCGGGGGAATTGACACCAGAAATGGCAATCGTTGGTGGTTGTGTGGAGGAATCGGTTGATTCTGTGTGGTTGGTGAAGGTGGTCGGGCGGTCGGGTACTTGGTTCGTCGGTCGGGCAGTGTTGGTGGGTTGCTGATTGGCTGGTTGAATTGGTTGGGGGGTTGGCTGACTGACTGGCTGGCTGGGGGTGGGATTCGGGCAGTGGGGAGGGGTGTGATATGGCTAAGCACTTGGCAATATCCACGATCTCCCAGGAAGTGTGTGAATTACATCAGCAGCTCCTGAGTCTGGCAAAATGTCGAGGGCCTGTTTTTTTACAGGTCCGACAGACTCCACAGTCGAGCGACAAAAGGGGCCTCTGGCGAACATTGCTGTTGGCAACGGCCAGAGATCGCCATGCCACGCCCTGTACAGTATCCTTGAAGGAGCAAATGGCGCCATGGCGCTGTTCCAATCAAAGCGAGCCAGGTGATAGGCAAGCCGTGCCTTAGCCTTTACCAAGCTCACCGGTCCAGGAAAAAACAAAACAACAACATGCAACTACTCCAGCTTGGGAGAATGTCGAATGCCCCTGTTCAGATTGGCTTCTTTCCAGGAGTGCTTCCAGCCACCATTCCAGCAAGCGGCAACTGTTGGACATGTCAAACTCAAGTGTGAAAGGCCAACTAGCTGGTGGCCCGCTACCCATGCACGCAAGTTACCAAGTTCAAATCAGTCACAACCGCTCCCAAATCACCAGGAAACCCTTGATGCCACGTGCAACAGCACGCATCACTTTTTGGGCCATGTGTGTAGGAAACAGCCTTTTTTGTGTGATACCTGGTATGAGGACCAGATCACTTTAGACGTGGGCTCCCTTGGTATCGAAGAAGCTGGCCAAGGCACCACTAAACGCTAAACGCCCTTGCTGGTGAAATCTCAGGGAAATTTCAAGGGAATGAACCTGTCAAAGCAACGGTTTTGATAGGTTCCATGTGAATCTGCGAAAGTAAACAAGGGGCTGAATAAATACACATTATTGTTCTGATTTTAAGTTGGTTGAATAGGCTGGACTAAATCCATTCTCGGCAGCGGTCAAAAGCAATGAAGCCCTATGAATGCTGGGGTAAACAACCCACCAAGCGCAGGAATCCATGCGCAGAAATCTTCTTGGCTAAACCTGCAAGGTATACTTTCCGCGGGTGCTTCTCTCATCCCTGAGACCCAGCAAAACCTGCTCTGGGCAAAACTTCGCCGAGGGTATTCTGTCGGCAAATCGTTCGGTTCGGTTCAGGCCTTGCCCACTCCAACCCCTCCGGGGTTTTGGGCCGGGGCCACTCTGTGCAGCGGCGCAGTCGCTCAAGCTCCCTCGCACCTCGGCGACTTCCAAAACCTCCTTCGTCGTTCCCTCGTTCACTCCCATTCTCCTCTCTTCTCGCTATCTATTCCGCTCGCATCAAGGGTTAACCCGCGAACACAGGCAAGAGACGGATAGAGAGAAGGCCACTCGCTTCGTTCCCTTCATGTGGCCATGGGTCAAAAGCCCGTGCCCCCAGTGAACATCCCAATCCCCACTAAAATGGACTAAAATGGGTGGTGCACCTACCCCAAAATGGTTTTGACCCACAGCCATGCCCTTCCTACTCATATTCCCCGTCGCACTTCCGAAGGCGACTTTATTTACCCAAGTTTCTCGGGTCCAGGAGCTCAGGAAGTGAGTCAAACCAACAGAAAACAATACGAAATCTTCCTGACGTGGGTCGACAATCCCATTTGGGATCCCATTTTGGTAGGATAATTCACCACCCATTCTTAGCTTCTTTTGTTTAGTGGTTGGATTGGGATGTTCATACTGGGGGTACGATTTGGGTTTTGACCCATACCCCTTTCAGCAAATAGAAGCCGCAGTTTCGGCGGAACCCGCAACGTGCGTCGGGGAAATCCAGCGACTGCTCCGACAAAAGGTGCCACAACCAGAATGCGGGCAAAAGAGTCAGCCGCGGAAGCGGCTGCTACGAAAGAGATTCGGCTCCCCGCCCAAAAAACCGTTCGCCGTCATAGGGCAGAACGGGATCAAAATCAGCGTCGAGACGCAGCTAAAATGAATTCGACTGAGTGATAAACAAAAGACATGCACAGACTATAAGCTCTTGCACCTGTTCGAAAATCTGAGATAAGGGATCTCCAAACTAAAGCACCCACATCATGGTGGAGATGGGCAAAACTGGAAGCATGACCCATCCAGAATCTCCTTGCGATTGCACATGTACCAGTTTAAGATCGGTTTGGGATTCCGTGTTTAACACCCAGCATTGAGCGCGTTCCACTTGGCTACAGGCTGCGATCAAGGCGCATGCAGGTCAAGGCGCATACAGGCCGCACCGCCAGCCTAGTGGAAGAGCATCTCTATAGGCGGAATCACGCGTCGAATCGGGACTCGATTTGCAGGTATTAATCCTCCGAATTCTCAAGGCAAACCTTCCGGGGTTGACTGCACGAATGGCCATACTGCAGTATGGGCGAAATCCATTTCGCACCACTCTGACACCATGGTTGAAACCATTGTTGGCTGGTATTTACAGGGGAATCATCATTCCAGGGTTTTTCCGGTGGTGCGAAATGGATTTCGTCCATCCACAAAATAGCATGATTGTCAACCATCCCTTCTCGCAATACATGGTTCATTCCCAAGTAGCGGCCCCTTGGCTACCAGGTTCTTACAGAACTCCTGGTAGCTCCGGCCCTTTACAACCGCCAGCCAACCCCTCGGCCGGGCAAACCTCTAGCAACCTCCCCCCCCAGGAAAACGCCGTGCCGCAGCTGGCGAGGGGAGACGGAGCCAGCACAGCTGGCGAGAAATGCACCCCGAATTCCGTGGCCATTTTGGGGCCGAAGCGACCCCCGAACAAATGTTGAAACCAGAATTTCTGCAGGACGTCAACTAAAGTTTTGGCGCTGGTGGGCATTCTGTTAGCTGTAGAGTTTCCCGGAGCTGGGTTCTTTTCAAACTGCTCCCAGTGAGATTCCAAGAACAAGGTTTCCCGAAAACATCTGGGAACGATCCACCACCAA